GGGGGGGGGGGGGGAACGGGGACGGGGATGAGCTGGGAGGTCACAGTTAGGGCCTGGTGGTGACCTGGGAGCTGACACGGAAGGGGACGGTGTGAGACGCATTCAGAATTTGAGGTTAACAGACCGGCTATGTGAGGGGGTGTGTGAGTACCAGTGGGAGATCCAGAGGAGCTGGGTTTGTGGGAACTGCTGACCCTCGAATGGTAATCCAGGAACTGCCAGTCGGCAAGCAGCTGCAGCCGCAGCAGGCCCTTCACCGGAAGCTGGAAACTTGAGCTGATTACCCAAAACTCTAAAATGATTTTCATTTCCACCTTTCTTTTTGGTCTTCTCGCAGGGCAGGTCAGTTTGTTCAGTGTCAAGGGTGGTGCTCCATCTCATGGTGTAAGAGAGACATGACAGTTTTCCCTACTCTCCATTTCCTTCTTAATGAGATCTTTAGAATTGGAATTGACTTTGGAGTTTGTATCAGTCACATCACTGCAGCTGATACCTTTTTTTTAAAATATTTTTATTACAATTTTTTTATTAATTTTAATGAACATTTACAGAGATTTTGGATTTTCCTTCATTCATTATTGCACTTCTTTACCCCCCTACCCCCAGTTCGCTCCTTTCTTTGAAAAGCAAAAGATAAACTTCTTCGTTGGTACACAATTCCCACCCACCTCCACCCTGACCCCGACCCTGCCTCCTCTCCCAAATGCACTCCACTATGCAACCTTAATTCTGGATTCCTGTGATAATCACAATATGCTACAGCTGATACCATTTTAATGATGTCAGAGCTGAAGCCTAGAGAAGTATCAGCCCTCAGGTGACAGCCACAAAGGAAGGACCCCCCTGTCCGCAGCTAGTTTTAATGGAGAAGGAAGGCGGGATTATAAAGAAGATAGGAAAAAAGGAAAAGAGAAATGATGTGAATCCTTGTAAATGCCTTACCCCTCAGCAGAACATGTCAGACTTCACTGCCAGCTTTTGTGACTGTGCAGTCAGTATTCAGAAATGTATCTTTTTTTTTTTATAGTGAGGAACTTTTTGTCATTTGCTTTTAAAAACTGTAATGATCTATATTTGTTTGATTATATGTGAAGGATGAATAGAACAAAACCAAGCAAGAATGAATCCTGAAGAAAAGAAATCATGCTCACCTTGATGACCACAAAATTATGCTTTAAACAAAAGAGGGGAAATGTGGGAAGCTGAATATCAAATTTAATATGAATAATAAGCCAAATGCTCTGTCAGGATAGGAGGGTGGCTGATACAGCTGGAATTCACTCTGTAGCACTAAGGCAATCTTGAAATGTTTACGGGGTAAGCTGTAAGGCGATCCTTAAGTGTCTACATAATTCTTAGTTTGTATATACTGAATCCCTCCTTCCTGTGACAAGCATAAGGTAAATAATAGAGAAGAATTCAGCCTTATTTATAAAAGACTTCCCCATGATCTTTTTTGTTTACTACTCCCTTGTGATTTTCCTTTGTTTATTCTCAGTAAAAACCCAGAAAGGCTAGCATAGAGGCTACAGTTCTCCCAGCTGTTAAAAAAAAAAAAAAAAATTAAAGCCACAACAAAACTGTAATGATCACATTCATCACAAGCTGAGTTCTTACCAGATGTTCATATTGGTGCCCTACTTGGCACAGTGTTTCCTGGCTCACGCAGTGTGTCTCCAGATCTCAGGTGATGCACCTCACCTCTGGGAGCCGTCAGCACCTGGCCTGGAGGCCTCTTGCTGGCCCTGGTGCTCTGATGTTTCATTCTAGTTGGTAAGTTATCTGAGCGATCAGTGAACTTCAGTGCTGCACTGGGAGGGTCTCCTCCAGAGGACAGTTCAGGAAAGAAGCACTCAGGAGGAGTTGGGGGCAGCAAGGTGCCAGAAGGCTTGATAACTCGATAAAGCAGAGGGAGTTTGATAACGAGTGCGGACGAGTTGTTTGGTTTTTTAATTTCCAGGTTTTTTACTGTTATCACGTTGGGTTCCATTTAACAGTTTCTGCACAGCTTGCTCAGTGACATTGGGTACGTTCTTCACAGTGTGTGAACACTCAGGTTGTTTCATTTCCATTAATCTAGTTTCACTGTTCCCTTATCTTTGTTTTAAAGTAATAAACATTTGGTCTAATATGGGTGTTTTTTTTAAAGAATGAAGTCCTTGTGGTTGATGCTAATTTTTTTGGAGCCAATTTGTTATTTCACTACCAAGGAGATACTAAGAGTTAGTTTTGGTTCAGAGTTTGAAACGTATCTTTGTGCGGTGGCCTTGACATTCAAGTAGTTCAGTAAACCTGTATTTTTTTCACCCCAGGAATTTGAAATTCTGTTCCATCTTTTTCTCCTATTCTAGCACGTTTGTCTGTTGCAGCTTGATGAGAATGGTTATGGTAGCCAGGCACCATCTAGTGCTTCTGATCTCAGGGGAGATGAGCCATAATTCACATAGATCATTTATCCTGTAGACTGTTGAGTTTGTCTTTCTCTTTTGCTCCAGAATAGTGGAGAACAGGAGCTATTTCTAGCTACCAGTCCTTGGAAAAAGACATGCTTAGAAAGGTGAAGGGTCAGCCACAGAGGAAGATTTCAACATGATGGATTGGCAAAGTGACTACAGCAGTGTGCTTAAGTGCAAAAGAGATTGTGAGGAAGGCACAGGACTGGCAGGGCTTTAGTCTGTTGTCCCCAGGGTGGCTATGAGCGTGAGTTGCCTTGACAGTACCTAACAGCAACAGGGGCCTTAGAAAAGTTGTTCCTTCATTTATTTCACAGTACTGAGGCCCTGCTGCTCAGAAAGGCAGCAGTAAAAGACCAGTACAAAAAGTCAAATAAGTGCTTTGAAGCCAAGAACCAGATCTATTTTGGATTAAGATATTGAGGAAGGCCTTTTTGAGGGAAGGAGGTGTCTTTTGAGCTAATACCTCAGTCACATGACGGAATCACTTGTGTCAGGCCCTGTGGTCAGAGTGTGCCAGGCAGAGGAAGTCACCAGCACCAGGGCTGGAGGAGTGATGTGCTTGATCATGTTGGGAAGCAGAAAGGAGCTGTGGGATTTGATGGGATGGATGATGAGGGAATGGGTGGGTGAGGTGACAGTGGGCGTGGAGAGGGGCTGGTGGCAGCACGAGGTTGGGCAGGGCAGTCGGCTTCCACAGCCCACGCACGTGCTGGCCAGTGTTGACGGGGGCGTACTTCACAGAAGCACTGTGTGGAGATCGCAGAGATCCTAAAGAGCTCTGCCTTGTGTGTTTTCTTCTGTAGACAGGATGGAGGTGCATATAAGGACCCAACTCGAGTGCCTCTCCCCACCCAGCTCTACAACTGGGCCGCCCCAGAGGTGATCTTACAGAAGGCTGCCACGGTGAAGTCTGACATCTACAGCTTTTCCATGATCATACAGGAGATTTTAACAGGTAGATCAAGGAATGCGCTAATGGTTGGCCAAAGTGCCGGCTTTTAGGTTGGATCTTTTTTTTCTTCACCCTGCCTAGGAGTTACTCAGTTTTTATGAAACTACAGGATTTTTTTAAAAAGATCCTGCAGTGAAATTTCCTGTGTTTATCTGCCAGGCACAGAGTGATCTTGAGATATCTTTTTATTTTAACCTTTTCTTCAGGCCCCAGCAACACTCATCCTTTGGTTTATCAGTTTGGATAAAACACAAAATTTTAACATTCAACATTTTAACACTCATTTGTTCCCTAAGAATTCGCAAACAAGGGGAAGAGACTGGCAGGTGAGAAGTAAACTATGACATGACATAAGACCCCCAGGGTCCAGTGCACACATTGGTAGGGTTATTGGAAGAAATGGAAGCAGCCCTCCCAAAAGACCCTCTAGTGTAGAAAGCAGTAACCTATCTGAAGATGGAAACGTAGGTGCTGGATGTGTGTGAATGTACACACACACACACACCAGTAAAACCATGAAGAGAATAAAATAACCAAGAGAGAGTTAGCTTCCCGTGGCAGTTTTTATAATCGTAGAGGCAAAACCACACCTCCAGTTTGTTGCAGACCGAGGGTCCCAAAGAATGAAATAATTTTATAATTATTAATAATGAGACAGACTACCGGGAATGATATAGAACAGAGAGTGTGAAAAACAGGGGGCCAACAGTTCCCATGACGGAAAGCCCCAAGCCATGAGTATTTATTTAGAATCATAAGGAAGGTTGTTGTTGTTGTTGTTATGTGCCGTCGAGTCGTTTGCAACTCATAGCGACCCTATGTACAACAGCCCTAAACCGTGCTCTATCCCGTGCCAATCTCATTGCCTCTGACACACCCATCCCGATTACCCCAGTCACTGAATCAATCCACCTCGTAGAGGGTCTTCCCCTCCTGCGCTGTCCCTCCACCCTACCAAGCATGACGTCCCTCTCCAAAGACCTGTCTCTCCTTAAAACATGTCCAAAGTATGTCAGACGAAGCCCCAGAATCCTTGCCTCCAAGGAGCAGCCTGGTTTAACCCTCTCTAGGATGAATCTGTTTGTTTTCTTGGCAGTCCATGGTACATTCAATACTCTTCTCCAGCACCACAGTTCAAAGGCGTCAATTCTCCTTCTGTCCTCCCTAGTCATTGTCCAACTCTCTGATGCATACCAAGTGACTGCAAAGACCATGGCCTGTATTAGGCGCACCTTAGTCTCCAGAGAGACACCGTTGCTCTTGAGTACTTTAGAGAGGTCCCTAACCGCAGATTTTCCCATCGCAATACGTTTTTTTATTTCCTGGCTACTGGTACTAAGAGTGTTGACCATGGAGCCGAGCAAACTGAAGCTGTGAACACTCTCAATCTTCGCCATCCATCCTGATGCTACCAATTGGTCCGGTGGCATGTAACCCCTATGTATAAGGAAGGTAAACAAAGTAAAATCACAAGGAAGTACAAAACAAAAACAAAGGATAATGGTGAAGTCTTTTACAGATAAGGCCAAGTTCCTCTTTATGTTAATCTCAAGGGGGAGGGATTCTTTTGACACAAACTAAGAACAATGTTGACTCCTAGGGAATGCCCCAGTGCCACAAGGTGACCTCCAGCTTATATTAAGCTTCCCTCATTTCCTGATACAGCATTTGGTCTACTACTACTAAATTTGATAGTCTTCTTCCCTCACCCGTGAGCTGGATGCATCTGACTACCCTGCCGTTGAAACGCCACGAAACATTTCCGTCCCAAATTCCCTTCTGGTACCCAAGTCGGCCTGCAGTGTCCTGTGTGTACTTGATGCTGATGTTTCCTGTTTCTGGGGCAGGGATCTCCCTGGTAAGTGGGTAAGGTAGCTTCTCAGGTGTGATTGAGCATCCCAGGTAGTTTTTTTTTTACTGGGAGAGAGGATTATTTAAAGGGGCTAAATGACTTCAATAGGGTTACTCAGCTTCCTTCACTTTCTTAATATTACTCTTGCCTGTGACTTTTTTTCTTACAGACAACATACCTTGGAATGGCTTAGATGGCTCAGTTATTAAAGAAACCATAATCTTGGGAAATTATTTGGAAGCTGATGTCAGGCTTCCAGTGCCTTACTATGATATTGTTAAGTCAGGCATTCAGGTCAAGCAGAAAGACCGAACTATGAATCTTCAAGATATCCAGTATATTCTGAAGAATGACTTAAAGGTAAGCCCTGAAGGTAGCTTGTGAGAATCGAGAACTAGAGACCAAGGACCGCAGCTTTAGGAAGTCTTGGAACCATCTCCACTCCGTTATGCTATTTCTGTGTTCCTGAGAAACGTCTTAATGCTAAACTTGATGAGAGCACCCGGGACTTGAAGGGAAACTAGGAGTTTCAGTACATCTTGGGGCACATGGGGAAGACTCATGAACGGCTGTCATTGTTGTTGTTGTTTGTTGTTATGTGCCGTCGAGTCGCTTGCAACTCATAGTGACCCTATGTACAACAGCCCTAAACTCTGCTCTGTCCTGTGCCAGTCGCACTGTATCTGACACACCCATCCCGATTACCCCAGTGACTGAGTCAATCCACCTCATAGAGGGCCTTCCTCTCCTGCGCTGTCCCTCCACCCTCCCAATCATGATGTCCCTCTCCAAGGACCGGTCTCTCCTCACAACATGTCCAAAGTATCTTAGACGGAGCCTCAGAATCCTTGCCTCCAAGGAGCCACCCGGTTTAACCCTTTCCAGGATGAATCTAACAAAGGATTACATAGTCAGTTACAACCAATCTACTTTATAGGAGTAAGACGGAGTTTACCTGACTCCCAGACCTCTTTCTGAAATCATCAGTGACATTCAGATGACCACAAATACATACTTGAGAATATTTCTGCCATACAGGATTTTATTGGAGCCCGGAGAACTCAGCCAGCTGAGAGTCCCAGAGTACAGAGCTGTGAGCCCCATTCTGATGTTGGTGGCTACCTTGGATTGACTTCAGAGCATCCGAAAATGTCCCCTCACCTGGAAATAAAGGAGCTGAAGGAGACAGGTAGAACCTTAACCCGTGGGCTCAGCATCACTTTGACTTGAACTTGGCTTGAGAGTCACATGATCTGCAGCTGATGAGATTTGCCACACTGGACACGTAATTTAGGCTGGTTAAAAAAGGAATGCCTTATTAAAATCATAATGAAGTTAAATATTTTCAACTCAGGTGTATCTTGCTTAGGTCCAGTCCTAAGCAGTACCAACCAGTTTATTCCAGTATCCTTATTGTTAGGAATTTATCTTTTAAATGACAAAAGAAAATTTAAAACTGTATCTGCTCATAGTAGAAAATTTGGAACAATATACTGAAAAAGTTACTTAACATTCTAATTTCATCACTTAGAAACAATATTTCTGTATTTCCTTACAGTTTTTAAATACTCTTGCTACTTTTTTATAGCCTTACTACTTTTCTAGTATATCTGGACACTTTGTTTTGCAAAGGACCTTGTAATCATCCAGCTCAGTTTCCCATGTTACCAAGGAGAAAACGGAGGTTCTAGAGCTTGTGGCCTGAGCTGTTTCTGCAGGAGGCCTTTTGTGGGGCCCTCTGGTTCTCATTCCTGTGGCTGCTCCATCCCATTCTGTGTAAGCCATCCACCACTGCCCACTGCCAGGGTCGTCGGCTGCCATTGTTAGTTGAGGTAGCAATTCCTCCCATAATGCACTGCGTACCTAAGGCATTGCATTGACTATTTTTTTTTTCAGATGTTCACCAAGGTAATAATTGTAACTGGCATAAACAGTCAAACGTGTGTGTGTGTGTGTGTGTGTGTGTGTGTGTGTGTGTGTGTGTGTGAAAAGAAAGCCTTAGATAAAACATGCCGTGTTAGTTAGGCATATTTTTTCTTCTATTAAATTTTATTAATTTTAATGAACATTTACAGAGATTTTGGGTTTCCATTCATTCATTGTTGCACTATTTTCTCTACCCTCCCCCCCCAGTTCGTTCCTCCTTTTTTTTTTCCCCTTGAAAGTCTGTTTTAATTGTCCCATTGCCACAGTGCTTGTCAAAGAGTTAGGCATATTTTAAACACGTTATGGATGAAGCTTAGCACTTTCCCAGCAGGATTTCACCCCCCTGCCCTCCCCAGTCCCTGCACTCTCACCTACGGGTGTGTCTCTGGCAGCATTCCACATCTGGGGACAGAGATTGGGGGCCAAAAAGCTGCTTTCTGCATTCTCTTGTAACTCAGGCAATAAGCTGAGGTGCTGAGCTGCTGAAGGTGACTACTTTAATCAGTTACTTGCTGCCGCTTTTGTGAAGAAACCTCTTTATATTTTAGAAACCTAATTTAATTGATTCTTTCAACAGGCAGTCGGCTTCATTCACCACAGGGCCCCTCTTCTCCCACCAAGAAAGCAGCACTAGACGTTCAAGCCCCAGCTCCAAGCCTGGTGGCCAAGGCGCCCCAGCACCACGGTGCTGCTTCTCCTGCGTCCTCTGCGGTGGGAGAGAGCAGGAGTGCTAGCACAGGCCAGGCAAGCCTTGACAGCTTTGAAATGAACGAAGCCTACTCGGGCTGCCTGCATGTGGGAGATGACAAAGAGGGGCCCCCAGCATCCGGTTCATCTCTCGAGGAGGATGGAACAACCGAGATAGATGAACTGAAGTCCATGGAAGAAGCATTAGACAAAATGGAGCAAGAAGGCAGCTGTCTTCGCAGCGAGGATGAGAGCTCCTTGGAAGTGGAGACAGAGCTTTCCTGTGAGCACTGGGACTGGAAAGACAGTTCTCTGAGTTTATCCGATAAGAGTGAGCCTTCCAGGGAAGCCACCCATTCCAAGACTGAGGAATATTACATGAGTAAGTGTGTGCTGAACTTGAAGTTTGCTCAGACATTAATGCATCAGAACAATGATTTGCTGAAGAGTATCGAACAGAAAATGCACAACCTGGCAATGATGCAGGAGGAGCGCAGGTCTCTTTGGGCAACTAAAAGAGGGTTTGCAGACCTTGATGGCAGGTTTTTAGCTGTGGGTCCCCCAACTCTGGACTATGTCCCTCCTGTTAGTCTCTCCTCCTTGTCACGGTTATGGGGCAAGCAACGAGACACTGATTTTCAAACCCTGAGAAGATCCCCGAGGATAGTGCTGGACTTTAAAGGAGGACATTTTGGCGAAAGATCCAAGCCAAGAAGTGACAGTGACTGTGGCTGGAAGCCTTTCACCCCTGTCACCCAGGACTCCGAAGAAAGCTCTGAAGATCAGTCACGAAAGAGCCATCAGGTAAATCTACAGTGGGAGGTAGGGGCAGGCAGCCTAATAGGGACTGTGATGGGATTCCCAGAGCCCCTAACCTGTTTGTTGGGATTGGCATGTGAATGTAACCAACTCGAAGCAGGGTCCTGATGGCTTGGGAAAATAAGCCCTCTCGGATGGAATTTCACGGTGGAAACTCCCCAGGTCTCATTCCAGATCCAGCACCAGTACATAGCCTCATAAGTGGAGCAGGTTGAACCACAGGTAGTTGCTGCTTTTATAGGCCTGAAGAGTTAAAAAACAGTGGCAATTTCATAAGGTCCTACTTACTGTATAAACTCTCTTCTGAAAGTGTTGATTTCCATCGTAGAGGTCCTAGAGGAGCTCTGATGACTTAGTGGTAAGGGATTGAGCTGCCAGTTCAAAAGGATGCAGTTGGAATTCACCAGGTGCTTCCCAGGAGAAAGGTGGGCAGTACAAGAGGTGATTTACTGCCTCTGAAAGTCCGCTGGACAGTCAGCGTTGGGTTTGTGCTGACTGGAAGGTTCACAGAGCAACAACAGCAATTTTTCTAGTCCCACCTCATAGATAGGAGCACATATTATTGTCCTTACATTCTGGACCAGGGCACTGACACTCAAGGTGAAAATAATCATGTCTGGGAAGTTCCCGGATTGTTTTTAATCTAAAAAATTGTTTTCTTGAAGATCTTAGTAGTAAAATGAAGACTTTATAACATTTTAATGTAGGAAGTTTGCTGTATTGTACAAGACTTATCCCTGAGGTTTAAGGATTTATCTTTAATGTTGATTTTGTCCAAAACCATTCTTCACTCGTACCCACTCTGGCTGGGTTTCTGGGGACCACCACTTCTGGGTAAAGGGATCTAGGTAAGATATGGGTTTATAGAAATGAAATATGCCAAGGGGAATAATTTTGGAAAGTGTTATTTTTGCAGTTAGCAAGAATGGCTTTGAAAATACAGTGAAGAAAAGAACACCTTCCTCATCAAAGCATTGGCTTAGGTTTACTGTTTTGTTTTGTTTTAAGCTGCTAACTCTTTGTGGCTCTGGAAACCAGGATACAACTGAACAATTTCAGTACCCTCCTGGAGCCAAGGGCAGTTGGGACAGAAGCCAGAATCCAGACACCATCAGGTAGGTTATACATGTTGTTGCTCTTTGTGTCACTATTCCATTGGGCTCCCATGTGACCCTGAAGTCACTGCATGATTGTCTGGTGGCAAGGAATTGTGAGAGGAAAAAAAGGGGGTAATGCACAAACAGGTCTTGGCCATTTTCAGCTAAATGATCAGAGAAGAGCAATTTGATAAAAACTTGGGGGAGACGTCAGAGATAAAGTGGTTTTGAGGCTAACCAGACAGAGTACATCAATTGTCAAAAGGAAAACAGCTCGCCTTTCCCAGATTGGCCGGATTGTTTCCCTTGTGAAATGTCAGGTGTTCCATTTGGCCGTGCTCCAGAAACCAGGGGTCTCAGTGCCGACATTGCTGGCCAGAGCAGAACAGTTATGGTTGTTCCAGGCCCACTGACATCAGCCAGAGAAATAACCTGGAATGGTTTCCAGTAGACCCCTGGAAAAAGAACATAGCTACATTTGAGTTTTCAGAATGTACGCAAAACAAATTTCCTTTTGCATAGAAGAAATTGTTTTTTAAAAGATTGGTTTCCAAAATAGACTTAAGTATACTAATATTAGTTTTTCTTTGAGCAGTTGGTAAATGGTAGCATTAATCCACAACTTTTGAAATGTAGTGTTGTAGAAAAAAGAACTTTGTTTGCTCCCCATGCTAATTGAGTCTAATTACAAGTTTACTCTTCTATCATCTTGAGAAGTATGTATTAAAGTTGACTCAGGGAAGAGGTCCAATTTCTGTTCACAGCTTTCCTTTCCTGAAAGGAATTTGTGAAGAACCATGTAGCTAGAGTCGAGGATTCCACACTCAGGCTGTTCATGAAAGCAGGTGGAGTGACAGTGCAGTCATCAGATGGCACAGAAACACTTGTCGTGACCTCTTCACAACAGGCTAGAGAAAAGTTTCACATTTTGCCATTTCTCCTTTTACTTTTAACATAGAGATTTAAAAAGAGGTTTAACTCTGTGCATGTTGTTGGTGGTGAGACTGTACACATGGTGTAAAACACTGCCCCATCCTGTCCCAGCCTCCCTGCCTCCCCAGCCTCTGCTGTGAGCGAGTTCTTTGTTTCAGCCACTGCCACTTCATCTTGTTGAAAACCTTCCCGTCCCTGTGATCCTCTCCATAGGCAATTATGTGGCTTGATTTTTCACTTTTCTTTAGAGCATGAGCACCATAACACATTAAACTGTTCTTATTGGAAATCCTCCCTGTTGCTGAATACTAGGTTGTGTCGTTCTTTTCCTCCCTCTAGTGGGCAAAGCTGCAAGCACTGACTATAAGGAAAGCTTTTTCTTTTCTCATTTTGAATTAGGTCCTTAAGATAGTTTCACAGAAGTAGAACTGCTAGGTCAAAGGGTCTGTGCATTTTAAAGACTCGTTTGATGTTGCTAGTTGCTCTTTAAAAAAGAAGTGCTCTGGTCCTGACGTGTCTCATTTAGCAGTCTCTCTGCTGCCAAGGCTGGCTGGGGAGGAGGGCATACTGGGTAACTGAATGCATGCATATGCCAGAGATGATACATTTCACACATTTCTGAAGACTTTGCTAAATAGGTGGTATCAGATAAATGGCAGCCGTCATGGCACAATGGTTAGACATTCAGGTGCTGACAACAAAGATCTGTAGTTTGAGCCCACCCAGCAGCCCCACAGGGAAAGATGTGGTTTTTATAAAGATTACAGCCTAGAAAACTTTGGAGCAGTTATCTATTTAGTGGGCTGTTAGGAGTTGAAAATGGACTCCATGGTACCAGTGATTACAACAAAACACATAAAATCGTTGGATGTTTAAAGCGGTAATGTCTTATTTGTAGACAAGAAACTGAAAGCTTACTAGAATCCTTCATCTAGCAAGTGGGGGGCCAGCCACTGGGGTCTTAAGTGCATCTTTACAAATGGCTAACAGAGGCTTCAGCTAGAAGGGCAGACACAGTTACTGAGCCTGCCTGTGTGCTGGGGCTTTCAAGGGCTCTATAGCTGTCCAGGGACCAAGATTCTCTTTGGTGAAATGATTTAAGGTGTGTGTTTCTTCTACGTCTGAAGATTTCCAAAGAGCGTTTTAATTTTTTTAAAAATTTCCCCCCTCTTATATACCCTCGAATCTGATCCGAGTGGCACAGGAGATTGCCTCTCCTTCTCCAGCGGAGCATCTCATGGATTCGAACCGGGTGCCTTCTGGTTTGCAGCACAGCTTCTGAACGCCACTAGGCCACCAGAGCTCCCTCCTAAAAGCATTTTTAGAATCATGAAACCTGAACTTCAAAACCAACTAAATCCTTAGAGATCTTCCAACCCAGTTTTTCATTTTTCTTAGGCATGGCAAGCCTATAGGGTCCGGTGCACGGCCTAAAGTCACACAGCCACCCAGTGCACTCTTTAAGGTGTCAAGCACCCTGTGGGGACAGCGGGGGTCACCCAGCCCTGTCCGGGAAGCTGGGAGGTAAGAGCTCTTTGTGGTGTGAACTTTGGAGAGTCTAGCACCCTCTCGTGGTGAGTATGAGTAAGTGCAACTCTGGGCTGGCTCAAGGAAGGGGTCAGTGCCCGTTGGTGGGCTGGTGGGTTCAGCATCTGATTAGTGACTTGATCAGACTGATGTGTTGTGTCTGCCTGCACCCACCTCTGCCCTGAAAAACAACCCCTTGTAATGTAGGATCAATACGGAACCTGTGCCTTCCAAAATCTGTAATCCAAAATCAAGAAATCATGAAGATGAAGAGGTACACTTAAAATGGAAAAGTAAGTATGACATAGTCTTTGTTAGACACAATGAAAATGAAGCTGTATTTCCCACCAATTTCTTATCTCTGATTACATAGCTAGTCATAGTGCTCATACTGAAGCTCTTTTCTCCCGTCCTCCACAATTGCATTTTGAGAGCAAGACCCTCTGACTCCAGACTGCAGAAGGGAAATGCTTTTGTCATTGCTAGACTTCTGAGAAAATATAGATATTTTATGTTGTGGTTGTGTGTCATTGACTTATAACTGACCCTCCAGCTGGCTTTCAGAGGCTGTAAATTGTACCGGAAGAGATGGCCCATATTTTTTTCATGTAACTTCTGGTAGATTAGAACTGTGTGCCTTTAGGTTGACAGCATAGCTCATAGTGGCAAGAAGCTTACCACTGGGCCACCAGAACTACAGTAAGTGTAATACGCGTTATACAACAGGTAGCATGCTGCCTCTTTAACATATCCTATAGGCATTATCCTTTTATATGAGCTTTATCATATAAGATAGATGAAGATAGATCATCAGTTAATACCATGCCTCTGGAAACTATGAACATAGAGAAACGATGACAGAGAACAGGGTTCAGGTCTTTTGTTCATAGGGTCACTGAGTCGTACTCAACTGGATGGCACTTAACAACAATAGTGCTAAGTTAGGGAGCGCTGGTGGCTTAGTCTGTAGAGAGTTGTGATGCAAACTCTTCAGAGAAAGATTGTCAGTCTCCTCTATTTGCAGTTCACAGCTTCAGAAACCCAATGAAGGGTGGCTGAGTGTGAACCAACTTGACAGCAATGAGTGTTTTGAATACTAAGCTACACTAGCAAAAGTGTAGACCATGTGAAATAAAAGTATACGTATAACTGCCCCGACCCCTCAAAAGGAATGAGTTCAGCACAGCCTGGGAGGAATAGACAAGTTCACACTACTTCCTGCCACTCACTGCAGGCTGGAGGCTTCAGATGTCACTTTCTTGGAAAATCTCCACGCTGAGAAGCTCCAGCTCCAGGTTTGTTGCTGCCTTCCATTCTGGAAACCAGCAACCAAGGCTGCTGTTAGGAGGAAAAGGCTAAAATGTTGCCTTTCCCTGCCTCTGCCATCGTTTCTTTCCATAAAGCCAAAGAGGGCAGGCTAAGGATGCCACAACTTTAAAAGGCAGTCAGCGTGATGGTCTGAGCTGTGGTAGTGATGCACTGCTCCTCAAGAATGAAAAAAAAAAAGCTTCCCCTTGATGGACATGATAATGTTTTAAATACTGATTTTCTTTTGTCCAGTGGAGGTGAAAGAAATGGCAGAGAAAGCAGCTGCTGGACAGCTCACAGTTCCTCCCTGGCATCCTCGGAGTAGCTTGGCTTCAGAGAGTGAGGCCGAAAATGAGCCTGCTCCCCTGCCGCACACCCCCACTGGGGACCCTGAGACTGTGGATTGGCAGCAAGCATTGGAGGGTCCCAGGGAAAATGACAGGCCAAGAGGGACAGGCAGGTGTGACACAGTGGACAGCAGGAAGGCTGAGCCGCAGAGCTTCACCTGTAAGTTCGTCAGGGCATTTGGGGTGGGTGTTCTGTAGGCACTTAGCACTTTGAGGAATAAGTAAACCTCTGGCAAATTCTTTTCCTTGGTCCTCCTTTCTCACCTGTTGGGGCGTCTTGAATTTCAGAGGAAAGCTATTTAGAATCTGTTCCTTTGTCAGACATCACTCTTGAATGGATGGGGCAAAGGATGGATGTATCTCCAGGCCAGTCACACTAACAGCCTCTACTCTCGTGACTGATTAATGTGTGGGGCCTGGCCATCCTAACAGAATAAGCTCACATCTCTTACATCACCCTTTGCCCTTCTAAGTGATTGTCATCGAAAGTGATTTTGTCCCTGGTTGTGTTACAATTATTAGGTCCCAAGCATGTGTCCCTCAGAAAGAATGAGCAACCAGAACATAGTGAACCCTTTCAAGCAAGTTCTTATGCGTCTGTGGCCATTGAGAAATCTTATAGTGTAAGTATTACCTACGGCCTTGAGAGCCATGTTGGCCCCAAGGCCCTGTTAAATTAGAATTGAGTTATTGTTATGCATTATGACACGGAAACAATATCCAAAGTAGTTCTCTTTGGCTGAAGTGTGTGCTCTCATATCTCTGACATGAATAAAATAATCATTCGTCCTTGCCTGATACCTTTCCAGTCACTTCGAGTCAATGAATTATGGAGTTTGGAGATCACAGATGAGAGTGAGACTCAGCTCTAGCCCTTGAGTTGACTGACTATAGAGTAGACAGAGACCACTTCTTAAAAACTCAGTACAAGGGTAGGAACCAAAGCACAAAGACCTGCAGGTGCCTGACATTGGACTCAAGGAAGAAGCACAGCCAGGCTTGTAATGAGAGCCCCTCACCTGGAATGTGCTGTAAATCTCAAGTTCAGGTGCCATGACACTGAGGTGAAGGGATGTCATGCCTGACAGCTGCCCCTCGCATGATGGGTGAGATCCAGGATTTCCTGGCGTTTGCACTCAAGTGGTGGCTTTGCCTTAGGAGTTGAGCGTACCGGTGACGCATGTGATTGGGTCACAGTCTAGCCAGAGTAAGGAACCAAAATATTTTATTGTCATTGACATGAGGCCACACACATTTAAAGACCAAATATAGCAATTGAGAATAAAGCAATGTAAAAATAAAATTGTGATATAATTAGAGGCCTTTCAAAGAACCCATTATATATTTAATCACAGCACACAGATCATTCACCAGGACACTTTATTCTTTTTCTCACATGAGGGCTGAGGGAATTTGCCCAGATTTTGCGTTCTGACTCAATTAGAAAAGCAGATCTAGGCAGGGAAGAGGGAGCCCAAAGGGTAGGCGGGGGATGTCTGAGAAAGTCCAGTTTGTTAGGAGAGATAATGAGGAATGGTGTTAAGTGTACAGCAGGACAAGTGGGTGGCGAGGTCATGTCAAAGGGAACGAGCCCCAGAAGCTTTGCCAAACAATGACTGATGGGGGAGATAAGCCAGGGGGCTGACAGTGTGATCATCAGACCAGAAAAGGAAGGGGTGGAGTGGAGAAGCTGAAGGGAAAGCTGTTACTTTTCCATTTTGTTTTTCTTATTGAAATCTCATTGCTATTTTGAAATCGCACTTCTTTGCTTGAGGGACTGCCAAGTTCTGAGCCACCTCAGCCTCCCGGTCGGGAGCAAGTTGCCAACATATGGACCATGTCTACACCCTTGGGAGTTCAGGGGGTTTAAATTCAGCCCCCAGCTTGAATTATGTGTAGCCTTTAGCTTTTTTTTTTTAATTGTGCAAAATAAGTGTAAGAAAACTGTTGTCATTTTAACCCTTTGTAAGTGCGTGTGAGTTCCCTTCGCTGTGCTGTGCTGCTCTCACCCTCTGCTTTGCCATGTTTTGCATCTCTGGCCTTTGCCCTTACTGAGACTCTCAGAGGGGAAAGGCTGCTGAACCCCTGGGTCATTTCTACACTGAGTCTCAGAATGTCTTCCCTTTCCCCCCCCCAGGGGAATCCCAGGGGACCAGCAGAGGCAGATGGGCTCACAGGCAGGGAGAGCCAGCTAGGATGGGTGCCCCTGACTACTGGGCAGTTTGGATGATCTGGTTATGAGTGCGGCATCCAACTTTAAAGGAGTTTGTTCACAATGAATGCCAGCCTAAGAGTGATTTCCTGCATTATCAATAGGATCAGTCTGTGCCATCAACTTGTTCACCAGAATCTTCTGAGGACATAACAGATGAATTTTTAACTCCAGACAATGACTATTTTTACTCCTTGACTGCTCAAGAAAACTTAGCTCTAGAGGTAAAATCATCACAGTTCAGGGTAAAGTATATTTTCTGTTTTCTCCATTGCCTTCTTCCTTTTAAACTTGTCTTTCCGTTAACTTTTTATTATGAGTTGGGTGAAAGCATAAAGAAAAATTAGTTTTACATTCTGCAATTCATGCACATTATTCCATGGCATTGATTACAACATTATAACAGTGCCCTTCCCACTTCCTTCCTGTGTTTCCCATTTCCATTTATCCTTTTCCCCCTCTACCACCCTCCCTTCTGAGCTTTATTCCTGGGCAGATACTGCCCTTTTCATATGGTTGATTGTCTTAATGAGTGTATACAACCCGGGAGATACCGTGTACTTTATAGGCCTGTCTGCTGTTTTGTTGAAAGTTAAATTATGGAGGTGATTTCAGTTCCAGGCTTGAAAGGTGACTAAGGATCCTATCTCAGGGTGTCCACCAGGTGACAGCTGGGTAAGGTGATGGACTCTGCAGATCTGAGTTCAAACCCTGGATTAAGACACGAGAAAACAAAGATAATAGATACAGATGATAATTCTGGAACACTGGTTGAAAGGAAAGAAACAGAAGTAGTTGACATACCAACTGAAGGAATAAGTGGAATGAAAACATTGACTAAGGAGACTGATGAAACACAGAAGTGTGAAAAGTGTGCATAGCTGTTTGAACAATGGTCTGGTTGGCTTGGAGTTTGGGATTACAGCGGAGTTCACACCACCTGACTGACTTCAAGAGAAGAACAGTTTCTTACCTTGTTCATTGTACTCTCATCTCCGTGCATCATCACAGTGACTTCCATCTCCTTCCCAAGCAGCCCACCCTCCTGCCCCCCCCCGTGCTTCCTCTGGCCCATCCCAGCTCCACCTGAGGTTGGGCCTGCCCCATTTTTTTATCTGGCACCTGGAGGGTGGAGATGGCTGTACCTTCCAAGACTCCTCTAGCAGCTGGTGGATCATGCCATGCCTGACTTGTAGCCAGCCCGTAGATTAGCGAAGGCACCAAGTCGACTAGGATCCTTGCCTTTCACTTGAGAGTATCTCACTGGGCACAATCCACGGTCACATTTGGGCAGTTCACCCTCTGTGGAGTGCACCGTCCTTGGGCATCTCAGATTGAGAGTACCTGTGTCTCCATGCCAGCCATCTCTGCCTGGGTACCCTGCCTGCACCCAAATCTTCGACTGGCAAAGACAACATTATAGGGTTCACCAAAGCGTTGAGAACTCTCCTTCATAGGGTCGCTATGAGTTGCCTGTGACTCGACGGTACTTAACAACAACAACACGAGTCTAGCAGATGCTTTATCCCAGACTGGGTACCCATTTCCTCCCAGTACCTTTTAGACTAGAAGAGGCACTGTCCAGAACCTGGCTCATGTCTTGGGGCCTTAAGTCACCTCTCAAATGAGCAGATACTCTCACCTGACTGGCCCTCCTAACCCCAGACCTCTGCTGGACTGGCAGGCAGATGGTCCCTTGCCTCCACCCAGCACAGCAGTGACAAGAGCCACTTGAGTGTCAGGTGCCTAGCCCACCATCCTCCAAGGTCCCACCTTTTTCTCTCATTTTTATTTTCCATTGCTTTTAGGATTTCTGTGGCTTGTTTGGTTTTTATTTTATTTTTGTTGACCAAGAACTGCCAGAAGTACAGGCTGGGTTTAGAAGAGGTGCCATTGTCAGATGGTTCTTGGCAGAAAGCAAAGAATACCAGAGAAATGTCTATCTGTGTTTCATTGACTAAGTGAGTTACAAATTTTGTCTAACCTTGAGAAGAATGGGAATCCCAGAACACTTGATTGTGCTTATGCAAAACCTATACTTGGACCAGGAAGGAGTCCTCAGAACAGGACAAAGAAACACTGCATGGTTCAAAATCAGGAAAGGAGGAATATGTCAGGGATGTGTCCTGTCTCTATACCTTTTCAGTCTATATGCAGAACAGATCATTCAGGAGGCTGGGCTTTATGAGGAGGAATGCGGCTTTAGGATTCATCAAAAACTTATGTTATGCAGATTACACAACCTTGCTTGTTAAAACTGGGAGAACCTGAAGTGCTTGCTGCAGAAAGTCAAAGACCAGTCTTCTGTATGGATTGAAGCTCAAATCTAGAAGACAAAGATTCTCACCACTTGGCCAATTGACAGCACCATGATAGATGGAGAAGTGATGAAGTTAAGTTACAGCTTGCCTGGCTCCAGAGTCAGCACTCTTGACTCTAGTAGTCAGGAAATCAAAAGATGAATTGCACTAGGAAAACTTGCTGTCAGGAACCACTCCAGAGTACCAAGAAGCAACTATATTAGTCTAGAGACTAAGGTGCACCTGATTCAGGCCATGGTCTTTGCAGTTACTTGCGATGCATCAGAGAGCTGGGTAATGGCTAAAGATGACAGAAGAAGAATAAATGCCTTTTTTTCTTTTTAAATAAATGCCTTTGAGCAGTGGTGGAGAAGAGTATTGACCATACCATGGACTGCCAAGAAAACAAATAGACCTGTCTTGGAGAGGGTGAAACCAAGTTTCTCCTTGGAGGCTAAGATTTTGAAGCTCTGTCTCATACACTTTGGGCACATGGCCAGGAAGGACTGGTCCTTGGGAAAAAACATCATGCTCAGAAGGGTGAAGCTATAATGCAGGAGAGAAACACCCTGGGTGAGATGGGTTGATACAGTAACTAGGGCATTGGGGTTGATGTGTTGGAGTCAGTGATACGGCTCAGGACAGGGCAGGCTTCAGAGCTGTTGTACATAAGGTTGCTATGAGTTGCAGGCAACTCAATAGCACATTCAGTTTTTCTTCTCAGGTGTTTTTGTTTTTATTTCCCTTTACTTTGTTCCATCTGACAACAGGCAGCAACTGAGTCCAGACATTGCCCCCCCCCCGCAGCTTCATTTGTCAGGCGAGAGTCAAGACCAGCTCCTGCTCCACCTGTCAACGACAGGCTGCATTCAACACTGGCCCGGTTTTCCTTTAGTTTTGTTTTGATACTGTGGTAAATCAAGAAATTAAAGAGCTGAACAGAAGATTTCAAAGAGCAGCTCAAGATGACAAAGCAAAGTATTATAATGAAATGTGCAAAGAGCTGGAGTCTGGGCAGAATATTAAATGATCCAAGAAACATTAAAAGAGTCACTGTACCAGAAGGAAGGCCAACACAGAAGAATTTCATGAGACAACATATGAGCAAGAGCCTGTGCTGATGAAGGAAGAAGTTCAAGCTGCTCTGAAAAAATTGGCAAAAAACAAGGCCCCAGGAGTTGGTGGCATACCAATTGACATAATGCACTCACTAAGTTGAGCCAAGAAATCTCGAGGACCTGGCCACCTGACTGGAAGAGATCTTTATTAGTAACCATATCAAAGAAAGGTGACCTGACAGAGTGCAGAAATGATAGAACAATATCATTGATACCACATGCAAGCAAGGTTCAGCTGAAAAACGACTGGAGCAGCACAGAACTGTTAGATGTGCAGGCTGGGTTTAGAAGAGGCCATGGTACTAGGGATATTATAACTAATGTTAGATGGATCTTAGATGAAAGCAGAGAGTACCAGAGGACTTTCTTATGTTTAATTGACTATGCAAAGGCATTTGACTGTGTGGATCACAACAAACTGTAGCTGACTTTGAGAAGAATGGGAATCCCAGAACATTTGATTATGCTTATGTAAAACGTACACTTGGACCAGGAATCAGTCATCAGAACAGAGCAAGGAGACACTGCATTGTTCAAAACCGGGAAGGGTGTATGCCAGGGATATGTCTTATCTTCAAAACTTTTCAATCTATATGCAGAATATATCATCCAGGAGACTAGGCTGTATGAGGAGGAGGAATGTAGCAAGGATTCTGAGGCTTCATCTGACATAATTTGGGCATGTTGCAAGGAGGGACATCATGGTTGGAAGGGTGGAAGGATGGGGAAAAGGAGACCTTTAATGAGATGGATTGATACAGTGACTGGGGTAATGAGGGTAGGTGTGTCAGAGACAGTATAGTTGACACAGTATAGAGCAGGTTTCAGGGCTGTTGTACATAGTCGCTATGAGTTACAAGCAACTCTATGGCACATAACAATAACATTTTAGGAGTGGAAGAATCCTTAATCATTTTGGAATAAAAAAAATTACAAAGATTCTGCTTTGAATAGATTCCACATTGTAGAGATAATTGTACAAAGTCTTAGTCTTTTACACAGAGGATATATTTCTTTCAGCCAGCTCCAAATAGAGGGACAACTAGTACATCTCCCTGAACAGAGAGCCTTGGACTATTTCATTTCATTGATTTTTATTTTTCTTTATAAACTTCTTCATAAATTTCTAAAGTAGACACAGTTTCTCCCCAATATCTCATTTAAATATCAATTGTAAGAGTGTAATATTCTATGAATCTTTTGGTTGGTCTGCATTTTCATGTAAACATCTGCACCTAAGCTGAACCTAGTACGGTCCAGAGGCTCCTTTACTGTCCAGAGGCAGTTTGTTGCTGGTCCATGTCTGCCATTTTTCCAAACTCTATGTTCTTTCCTGACAACCCAAAGCTTTTTAAAAGCAAAGTTTATTCTGTTTGTTGTTGAGACAATACACAGGAAAACATACATCAATTAAACATTTTCTACATGTTCAATTCCGAAACATTGATTAGATTATTCAAGTTGTAGAACCATTCTTAACTCTTTTTCCAAATTACTCTTTCCCCATTCTTGAAACTCGCCAATCTCTTAAGTTTCACATTTACTCTTTTGAACTACTATTGCTATGTCACTCTCATATAGATAGTTCTTTTAAAAGCACAGTTCTCAAGACAGACATTGTTTACTAGTTAGACTAAGATCCTGTTTGTTCTAAGGAAGTTTTTGGAGGATATTTTTTGGTTAAGATTTAGAAGTTTTCTTAAGGCAGTGGTTTTGGAGGTTCATCTAGCATCAGTGGATCCAGAAAATCTGGATTCCATAATTTTGATCCAGGATTCTTCTGCAGAAACGTTGATCAAAACAGCCAAAACATGTTTGATGTAAACTTGAGGGGAGTGAGAGTAAGGACTTAAAGAGGGGAAAGTACTCAAAAGGGAAGGGGATCTTGTTTTTTAGGATAAATAAATAAAAGTTTAAAAATTTACGGAGAGGTTTTAGTGTTGTTTTTTTGTTGTTGTTGTTTTTTATAAATAGGCACCTTGTATAGATTTCCAAGGTCTAAGAACACCAAAAACTTTACATTTTGACAGTATATCTGCCTCTAGTGGACCTCCTTTCTTTGATCTTTTATTCTTTTTTAGACCTCAAGTCCCATAGGAGAGGCCTCAAGAGGAATACAAGGCGCACTTGCTCAACCTCAAGTCTCTGGTAATAAGCTTTAGGGCAAATTTATTGAGAATCACTTGCCTTCACTTTCTATCATGTCCTGGATATTTAGAACTGAGAGGGTATTTAGAGATAATCTTTCCTTTTACAGACAGGCAAACAAACTCCATGATTGCCCCTCTGAGTGACTCCCTCCCTTCTCACTAGCCTTGTGACGTCCATCATGTTTTTTGTACCTCCCCAGACATTGTATAGTACAAATTAAAGTAGTGACTTTTTTATATATGTACTCGTTTTCAAGCAGATTGAGGCTTTGTTCATTCATTTTTGCTGAACTGACACCTCAGAGATTTACTTCCATTATAAAGATTGTTGATAGAGCAGAACTGTGGACATTTAGGTTCCTGTGTCTTTTTCTGCCTAGAAGGTGGATTTCACTGTCATTCTCTTCTGCTTGCTGAGCCTTTTGGCAGAGAGTTGGCCAGCAGTGCAGCAGATCTAGCCGCATGGGCTGCCCCTCGCCCCTTGGGATGGCTTGTGTTCAGTAGATGTTAGCTGCTGCTTTTAGTGTCATGCCAGGATCAGTAGCCCAAGGAAGATGTATGTGAGTTCTGTTACTAAACTCCTGTGTTGCCGATCGCTGAGCCATGCCACTGTCCACAGCTGTGTCTCACTACTCCAGATCCAGGCAGGGCGGGACCCTGAATTCCTCCTGTTGTTCACCCTGACTTCCACTCTCACTTGACTCGGGTTCCACTAGAGTAAGGGACTTGTAGGAAGCTGTCAGCTTTTAGATGAACAGTTAAATTCTCCAGATGGTATGCGTGAGAAGTCTCTATGCCTGAGACAGGGTCCGCTTGAGTCATGACAGGCACCCCTATGAAGCATGCTGGTTCCAGGCCCAGCGCTGCCTTGGATCTTTTCTGAAAGATCTCAATTCAGTTCACCCCTGCCTTCCTTCCACCCTCCTGCATATCAAGGAATTCAGGTTCTAAAATCTAGAAATTGCCCTCCAGCACTAAATTGTGGTAATGTTTTCTAGATGTTTTGCTTTTAAAAAGAGGATTAAAGCGAGGAAACACCCCCACTGTCTCTCCACTGGAGGAGTACAGAGCCTTTGGTACTAGCTGAAAGTAGGACCCTGTGGGGGCCTTTCCTAGTGCCCAGTAGACTCCCGGGACCTGGGGATTGTAGGAGAGAGGGTCACAGGAAGATGAAGCTGGGCTGGCTGTTCCATTTCCCCCCTTCTCTCTAAACCAGGACAGCACACTGGTAAGAAAGAAAGTAGATACTGGCCTTGTCTGACTGGAGTCTGCAAAGTATCACATACAGAGAAATGCAGAGGAGAAACATCTGTGCTTGATGCCAAGGGGAAGAGAAGCTACTTGAATTATCTCCTTTGCACTCAGACTCTGCCCCCACCCAACTCTGTGTGTGGTATCTGACGGCCACCCTCAGCACACTTAGCACTGTGAAAATGCCCAGTTGATAGTCTTTAGTGGACAAACACTTCTTGGCTTTGACGCCCCCTGGTGTCTGTTGACAGGAAACGGGTCAGTTTGCTTTCCTGAAAAGACAAAACAACATTTGTCTCTTGAAATAACTGTGCTGTTTTAACTGAAAGGCCAGTAAATGGCTTGATTGTATTCTGAGTGTCATAATACAGTTCTTTCCTCTAAGCAAGGAAAACAAACTTTCGGGCAGAACCCTTTATAGCACTCAATCCAAGCCAAACTGGGTTTATTTACCCAAATTCTTATTCTGGGACCAGACCAATGGAGATTCTGTGGAGTGAAAATAATAATAATATGGGTTGGCAAGAATCTAGAATAAAAATGGCATTTATTTTATCCTTTCAGATGAGGAGAGGTTCCAGATGACAGGGAGAATTCCTGGGAAGAAGGATGAAATTTTGTCCCAATCTCAGTTCCAGCCTACTCAAAGGTATGGACTATTTTTATTCCTACTTGTAGACTCACATTCTTCTAAGTGGTATAGCACTGGTCTGTCCATTTGCTGTACAGAGGTAACTTTTGGTTGCTGTGATGCTAAACACTATAACACTGATGTGCCAAATGCGATAATGGTTACCCATGGTGGACAATGTTTGGTGGCACTCCCCGATTAAAACAAGCTTGAGGGAGCTCTGCTGGCCTAGTGGCAAGAAGCTGCACTGCAATCCCAGAGGTACGCGGTTCGAGTCCATCAGATGCTCTGCTGGAGAAGGAGGGGCAGTTTCCTCCTGTACCAGTCAGATCCAATCTGATGGTACATGCACAAAAAATAATAAAATAAAATAAAAACCTAACAAGCTTGGAAGCAGGAGTGACATCCACTTCAGAAATGGCTTGCCTCCCGAAACTCTATGAACAGTGCTCAGGTCTTTCATTCATAGGGTCGTTATGAGTTATCTATGACTCGATGGTACTTAACAACAACAGACTCACAAAGACCATGCTAGCCGGTGATAATGTCACATTATCTATACACTGCTTGTCTTCAACTGTATTATCCACTGTATCGTGAAAAGTAGCTTTGGGCACCCTAACTGTGTTAGAATTTACACAGCAGAATGATAAGCAGTGGTGAAAAATGAGTCTGTGTTCTGATCCTGACTCTGCTTTCTGATCCATGCTTTCTTGGTTAACCCTTCTCTTCCATTTACCATCTTTAAAGTAGAAATAAGAATCCTTCCTAACAACATTAATATAGAGATTAAGAGTAATACTGAAACTTCTGGACATTTATCCCAGAGAAATGATGACTTCTATTCATACTGAGTGCTTCTGCAGCTGTATTCTTAATAGCCCCAAACTGGAAATGGCCCAGAGTGGTTAAGCAGTTTAAAATGACTGACTGACGTGTCTGACCTCTGACTTCACTAGAGAGAATCATCTCTATCAGTAACCAAGGTTGTTTCCTATGAAGTGGAGCTGAGACATGCCTCTGCCCTCCAGTCATTTTACCAGCTGTCCCTCCCTTATATATACTCTACTTTTCTACTGCTTTTGGTAATTCCTTACAGAAGATATTAACAGTAACAGTTTGTTAGGGAAATAGTAGGTTACGATTCAGGTTCAGGAACATGCAGGATACTGTTCTTCAATCAGAACAGCCTCTTCTCAGCTTCCCCTTGGCCTGTCCTCTGCCTTTCTGGAACAAATGGTACAAAAACCCTTTTAGCTTGGCCAGTAAGTGCCCAGAGGCACCTCACTCTTTCCAGTAAGCCTCAGCCAGAGGTGTACAGCTCTTGTTTGTTGGGCCATATTACTGTTCCCAGAGTTCACCAAGTTGCCAGGCCAGGAAGCCCTCAGTGCTATCTCCTGCTGGTCTTCTGGTTCTGCTGCTGCCATTTCTCTGTTGATTGTCTTTGCTTTCTTTTATCATCTTTGGTGTTCAGGTCCTTCTCTCTTAGGCTGAGGAGGTTCTCGAGGAGCTAGTTCCGAAGAACGTGCTCTGTTCCCCTCTCTCTCCTTGGGCATTCTCGTTTCTTTCTCTGGGTAGTTCACTTGAAACCTAGTGGGATGGCAAAACTGACCAGTCTCCTCATTAGAGTTTTGTAGATGCACAGGGATGTCATGCAACTTAGTTACATCATTAGCAAGTTATTTAATCTCTTTGGTGACTCACAGGTACCTCAGTTGCATAGTCTTATCCAGTTATTTTGTGAAAGTTTCAAGACTGTGGCTGGAAGGGCTGTATGAAGTAATTCACTGTGTTGAAAGTACACCGTAGTACATCTTTATCATGAAATACTGCTCAAAAAACAAACTACTGAGACACACAGTTAGAATAAATAGAGAATTATGCTGACTGACAAAAGCCATCCCCAAAAGCCATTTACTATATGATTTTCTTTATATAACATTCTCAAAATAATATAATTCTAGAAATGGAAAACAGAGTTGTTGTCAGGGATTAAAGAAGGACTGTTTAAAAGGAATGTACAATTAGACATTATATGTAAGGTGACTAGAAAGTGAATTGGGGAGGACGGAGGAAAATGTGCGTCAATGAATAAATGAAAACCTAATCTTTCTGCAAGCTTTTGTTAAAAATCACAATTAAAAAAACCAACAACAACAAAGAAGAGAGAGTAGCCTGGGAGGGAAGTGGGTGTAACTATGAAAGGGCCACAAGACGGACTCCTTGGGGAGATGGAAGTGGTCTGAATCTAGATGACCATCAATATCAGTGTCCTGGTTGAAAATAGTGCACTGTAGTTTGGAAAGATCCTACAACTGGGGAACGATAACTCAGTAAAAGGTGCATGTGATCTCTCTGCATTTGTTAGAGTTGCATGTGAATCTACAATTACCTCGGAAAACAAATCATTTACAAAAGGTAACTATAGACCTCAGTTTCATTATTTATAATAATTTAAGATTCTATTCTGAAGCATCTACTATTTCTCAAGCACTTTGTTTTTACTATCTAGTTTAATTTAACAATAGCCCTCTGAAGTCCATACTGCTGTCTCCAGTTTTCTGAGAAAAAATTAAGATAATTTATTTTCTTTGTTCACAGGGCTTGTAAGGGGCTGTCTCAGTCAAGATGGGCTAGATTCTGTTATATAATAACACAAATTTTAGTGCCTTGAAACAACCAAAAGTTTTTTTTTTTATTGTTCATATTTTGTGCCAAAATAGTTTGCCCCAAGGTTTTCTGAGATTGAGGTTCAGAAAGGTTTTGTTTCTGCTTCCCTGATTGCTGAGGTATGAAGAAAGGAATGGTGAACCAGATGCTGGCTCTTAGTTTCTGTAGACAAGTGACTCACAACATTTTCATTGATTAAAACAAATCATGTGACCACTTACATAAATCAGTCCTACTACGTGCATAGAGGGAGAGCTAGAAATATTTTGATGAACAGTTCTAATAAAGCCACAATTCAATCAAAACCCACGTTCATTCTTTTATACTACTGCTTTCACAGGATTATTGCAAGGCTTAAAGGTGTGAAAACAAATGGAAGGATTTAGCGAGGAACTTGATTGAAATGGGTGTAAGTGCTGATAGTGAATCCTGACAATATTTTGGGTAGAAACAGGTCTCACATGTCTTTGGTATTCTCTTCTGACCATTCTTGGACACAAGCCTCTCTTGGCCTCTCCTGATATTCTGTAAGGCAGTTGTCTAGCTAGGGCTCCCACGGCTGTGCCCCTCGCTCCAATATTCCTCTCCCAACAAAGTTACTTTGCCCTATTGCCCCACAGTTAAGAGTCCTGGGCTGGTTAAAGAGATGGGCTGAGATTGTTTTTTACTCTCTGGAGAGGAAGCAGATCTGGAGTAAGGCTCAGTCTTGTCTGAGAGCAGGTGACTAGTTGACGGCAGAATCAGGACCAGAGCCTTTCTTCACTCTGGAGCCTCATGCCCTGTCAACTGCATGGCTCGACGGGTTGGTACGCAGGGACCCTCCAGACAGTCTTGTGCACTTGACTGACCAAGACTTTTTCACTTTCTCTCTTACAGTGATGGAGGTGAACAGGAAGACATTTTGAAGGAACCACCAAAAGAACTGAAAGACATGTATGACTCCTAAAGAGAACTGCGTTATGGTGCTTTATAAAGTGTTGGGTTTAGTGTTGGTTTTATTTGTAAGACACATATTCTTCCTATTTTTCTGTCTTTATAAAATGTGCTGCTGCTTTGAACCAAAAGCTGTTGTGATATAATTTGCAATTAATAACTACTTTTTAATCAAGGAAATACAGTGATGATAATAATAGTATGTTTGTACCTGCAGTAGATTAAATCTGTTTCCCACATAAATATCCTTTCATCCATGGAAGGAGTTTATTTTTAGCTACTAAGGTGTGTTTTAAAGTTAGCATCTCTTTTAAACTAGTCTCTAATTCTGGCTTATTGCCAAGTGAAGATTTTGATAAAAGCACACTTTAAAAGTACCTGTCAGGAATATAGTCTGATTTTTTTCCCCAAAAAACAGGATCTTTTAATTACTTTGTACTCTAATCTTAATTCCTCAGATCACTCACAGATATTCAAGACCTGTCCAGTATCTCTTGTGAACGAGACAGCTCTTTTAAGGAAGCTTCTTGTAAAACACCCAAAATAAACCACGCACCTATGAGCGTCAGCACACCACTCAGCCCAGGTAGTGACCCACAGGAGGAGAATATTTTGAGAGAGAAAGGAGCAGTCCCTGTTTGTTGGTGACCAATGACAAGTTGGCATTGGTGACTGTTTCTCAGCAAAGCTGAAGGAGGTCTTGGAGGCCAGGCTGGGTGGTGATGGTAACTAACCAGCTGTTGGAAGGTTTTATTGGTTTGTTTATTTTTTTTTATTTTTGTGTGTGTACCGTCATATCGGATCTGACTGGTACAAGAGGAGATTGCCCTTCCTTCTCCAGCAGATTATCTATCTGGTGGTTTCGAACGTTGGTCCTCTGGGATTGCAATGCAGCTTCTTGCCACTAGGCCATCAGAGCTTCCTGTTGGAAAGTTTTAAATGCAGAGGTGGAGATTTGAAAATACAGTGGGCCCTTGAGCAGTTCTTGTTTTAGGGATACACACATCCCTGCCCCAGTTGAAAATTCGCATATACACTGCCAAGTGCACTTTACTGGAGGGAAGCCAGCTGCTCACATGATGATAATTTGTATTACATGGTGTTTCAGCCACAAGAAGACATTTGTTTATTAGTGGACTTGTGCAGTTCAAGTCCATGTTCAAGAGTCAGCTGTCTCTTCTACTCTAGTGAAAGCACCATTGAGGTTTAGTCCAGAACTACTGGAGTGTTCACATTACAGTATTTAAAGAATTCCTAGCCCAGCATCAGCACACAGCCAGCTTCTTCAGTGCCCTTATTTACAATGTACTTGTGGGTTTAATCTTCCTTTATTTTGGTGGTCATTGTTAGAGATACTCACTTTCCCCTGCTTTGACTTTCATGATCTGTGCCTCAGATAACAGGTTACTTCCTTTATTAATAATTTGGGAAGTCGCTGGTATTAGTATTGAGGGTGGTTGTTTTAGTTGAGGTTTTTTTTGTTGTTAAATACTAGAAAGGCACAAAGTGTCCTCTTTTCTTACAACAGGGTCAATGTCTTCATCTGCCAATCAGTACAAAGACTTTCTTGAGAGTACCACATCTCAGGTTCAAACAGGATCTGCCTCTTGCTTGGACAGTCAAGAGTTCAGTTACACTTCATCTGAGAAGTTCATTAGTGTCCGGGAGAAAGCGAGGATGCTGGATTCCCTTCTTGCTTCCTCTGAAACATCCCCTTCAAGACTGACTGACCGTGTAAGTGTATCAGTCCCGCACTGCATCCTCGTGGTGCCTGTCCACTGTACAGAGAACACAGGAAAACGCAGCCTCTCCAGGTTTCCTGGGGAAGCCTCCTCAGTGTATTGTGGGGCGGGTCCTGAGCTTTTTTCTGTTTTTCCTTTTGCAGAGATAATTCTTGGCAACTTCTTTAACGTGCCAAGGTGATACACTGTGCCGTAGTATATACCACCTTTATTTTTATTGTTCTCTCATGTGAGGAGAACACCTCTTGGTTAACTTTCCTGGGAGTGTTTTTTGACCTCCTGAACTAGTGTCTGCAGTTAAAGCACCCGTAGGCTACAGTAAAAACACTTAATTTATATACCACTTCTCCCCTCTCCTCCACTATCTCTCCCCCTGCTCCTCTCTTCACTGCATTATAGTTCATATGTGTGGTATCCTCAGTAAAGTTATGAGTTCCTTTGTCGAGTGATACTACTTTACTTGAAAAAATTCAACAAATTAAAAACATAGTATTGTCTGGTGGGTTTTTGCAAGAGAAAAAGATTCAGGAATACAACATGAGGGCTTTTAATTCAGACAAATCCAAATGAGTCACTTTTTTGGAGGTGTTTTTGCTGAGAAATGTTGCTGTCTATAAAGACACAATTTTCTGGGGCATTTTTCTAATGACTTCTGAAAAAAACTATTACTTTTTTTCCCTCTAGAGAAAAAAAAAGTGGTCCATTAGGGAGAGGAAGAACTAAATAAATAGTAATTGTTTTAAGAATAAAACCCCCCTCTTGTTAACTGACCTTTCCGTAGACATATTACTTACTTTCACCTCCAGTGAAAAGAAGTGATTGACAACTTCCCCTTGCGCATTTGGCTCACAAAAGATCCTGCTTTCAAGTAGGGAAATGACAAAGAATTTTATGCTTTAGTTTGGCAAGCTGTTAATTGGGCAGAGTTTCAATGCCAGGCACCATTCCAGGCTTGGAGTGTGAGTAAGAAACTTAGTAAGAAAGACTGGTCTGGTGTAGCACAGAAATAAATACTCTGGTCAGAAAGCAGAGAGGAGTACCAAGTCCAGAGGAGGGTACATTAGAACAAAAGTTGGACTTCATCTGTGAAACAAGGGGACTTGTTCCATAAGTGCGCAAACTTAGTCTTGGATATGATTGATCTGCTTGTGCCTTTGAGTTCAACACACAGGTCAGTTATTGTTCTTTTTTTGTCTTACAGAAAAGATTGTCTGCATTTACTGGGCCTGCTTCCCTCAACACAGCTAAGGTGTCTGGCACCTCACCTGTAACCGAGAGAAGGAGCCTGCCCAAAGGTATCTTGTAGTTAATACAAAAATAGAACTTCCTAATAGTAAGCCACATTACAGGCACCTTGTTCTCATCTTTGATACTACATTAGATGAAAGTAAAAAACTGTTATTATAAAGGTAAAACACCCACATTGTAAAAAACCCTGGAGAGTAAACAAGAGCTTGTAAAGGAAAATAACACTTACCTTTTAACTTTAACAACAAATTTTCATCCTCATATTATTTTAGTGCTTATCTTTTTGTATTTTTAGAAATGTATGAAATATATTAACATAATTGAAATCATACTGCCTATCAGTTTTAGCCTACTTTTTTCCTTGATTTTGTATATTGAAACATTTGCATGTAATTAAAAATTATTCATAAATCTGTGCAATGACGGCAACATTCCATTGTGATGTATCACTTAACCATTCCTTTGTTTTAAAGATTAACGTTGTTTTTCCAAGTTTGGGTCTTTGTGCATGTCTTTTTGTGCACCCCTGACTTTTTCCTTAGGATAGATTTCTGGAAGACATTTTGAAGATCTTACATCTTTAATGCAACTTGTGAAATGTCCCTCAGAGGATAGAAGTTTCATAAATTATGTTGAAGAAGTTTGGTTAATGTTCAATTTGAGCACTTGGGGGGAAAACCCAAAGCATGGGTGCCTTTTGCTTCCCCTGGCATGGTCACCTGCAGAGTGAGGCCTCCCAGTTTCTGGCTTTGTTTATTTTGACTGCCCTAGGTCCTCTCTGTGTCCCAGTTATCCTGACCCAGATTGAGTCCCTAGCCTCTTCCTTTTTTTCCTTTGTTTTATTTGAATGAAGGTTTACAAATCATAATGGGTTTTTTTCCATACAATAATTCATAGATATTTTGCTTATGAGCTCCTTTTTTTTTAAGTTTTATCTTATTATTTTTTGTGTATCTGTAACATCAAATCGGATCTGACTGGTACAGGAGGAGATTGCCCCTCCTTTTCCAGCTGAGCATCTGGTGGTTTCAAACCTCATGGCTCTGGGATTGCAGTGCAGCTTCTTGCCACTAGGCCACCAGAGCTCCCTGAGGACTAAAACCAAGCACTATAAACTTCATTAAAGAAAAGCTTGGAAGAACTCTAGAAGTCCTAATCCACAACATAAACAGTCTTCCAAGCATCCTGGAAAATCTACTACCAGGAGAGGAAGCTCAAGCTTCTTGATGAGTACCTCAAATGTCTTCTTAACCTCAAATGTCCTTTCAGAGGATCAAAATCAAGCAATAGTAGTGTGCGAGGTGATTTAGGAAGGGTGAACAAGGGAGTGAAGCCAGGCCTGCATGAGAAGATCTCAGCCAAGGCTGCTCTGCCGATCTTCCTGTTCTCTTGGTTTGTTTCATCATCAAGAAATACGAAGTCTGATCCATGTAGGAGCGTAGAAGATCCAATTCAGGCCCAGGAGATGCTAAGTCCTTTCCCCCTTTATCTTTTTCAAGAATTGGTAGACGCCATCTCACAGCGTCACATTGACGAGCTACCACCACCAGCTCAGGAGCTTCTTGACGAGATTGGTAAGGGCTGTGCAGTGCGGAGTCCCCGTGGTCCCTGTTCATTACCGTCCCTCTCCAGCCTGTGTGCTCTTTGTTTCTGGTCTGGTGTTTTTGTACAGAAGGCCTGGGGAGGGTCTGATTGAATGTGAAAAACTCAGGAAGGGGCCGTTTTCCCAGACAGTGGGCCCAGCTGGGATGATTGGCCTCTGTCTTTTGTCATTTTTCAAATGTGCTGTGGGTAATACCTGAGGGAAGGAAATTGCATTCAAGTAATTGTTTTGTTTCTTAAATAATGCACTTTAAAAAAGCCCTAACTGGTTATGTTGTTGAGTATACATACATTTCTGTTGTTGAAGAAATTCTTGCTTCCTTTCTTTAGCAGACATACCGCAGAGGCCTGAGGTTTGTCTGCTCAGATCAACATGCTTGTATGTTCATTCCCTTTTTTTTTTTAAAAAAAAAACCCCATTAGCAGAAGGTAACTAGAAATAATTGCCATTATGGATAAATCTCTTTCTTGAGAGCAGGAAAGTTAGTGGCACAAGACCTAATGAGACCAGAATTTCCTATTTCCGGCAGAGGCTGAATGATGCCAGCTCAGTTTTGTTTGCAGCTGATCCACTAGTTTTGTCCAGCTGCAAATAAAGGGTGCATGTTTTCCGGGGCCTGTAGAGGCAGGTGGCAGCTTCCTTAGCCAAAGATCTGAGTGTTCTCTTGACTTCCTGGCCGACTAGTCCCTCAACATTAAACATTAGCCTCTTGACACATCTCACAAAACCCCCAGTGGTCCAATTCTTCTTACTGGGCCTGTAGAGAATTTCCAAGGCACCCGATGGCACAATGGTTTAAGCACTTGGGTACTAACCATAAAGGTCAGCAGTTTGAACCCACTGTTACTTCCATGGGAGAAAGAGTTCCACTCATGTTGCGTTGAATCCTTACAGTAGCAGATTGGCTGGTGGGTTCGAACTCCTGACCTCTTGGTTAGCAGCTGAGTGCTTCACCTCTCCACCAGGAAGGTTCTTGACCCTCCTCGAAGTCTCCTTATCACAACTGCCAACCTCTGCCCAGATGAACTTGGGTGGGGTGAGTCAAGCTGGAGGGAACCTTTCTGGTTTCCTCTTTCAACATAGTCCTAGGTCTTTGCTAGTCCCTGGGACTCAGCCCACCTAGAGGCGCCATGGAGAACCTGGTGACTTGCTTCCTAGTGTCACACAGCCTTGTAGACCCTGTAGGGCACCTTCTATTCTGCACGCCCAGGGTCACCGTGAGTCAGAAGTGCCTCCGCAGCAGCTTTCCAGCCTGACCTGCCCAGTGCCACAGGCTCCTGCAGGTCACAGGGTGGTTGAGTCAGGCTCTGAGTGCCACTCCCCTCTCCCTTTTTTCTTAGAGACTTCCTGGTTCATCCTTGTCAATTACTTTTTTTTTGTAAAATAAATAGAAACACAGCTTATGAGAGTAGGAGTCACCCATACATGTGTTGGTAGATTCTACACGCATGTTGGTCTCGTAGCACTGCTGCACCACAGAACACTATCTAGAAGCCCTTCACTTACAGACATAATCTGGGTCAGGTTTCTAGGTGATGTCTGTCCTTTAAGAGGGGTCAGTCGTTTTCCAGAAAGATAAACACAGCAAGCACTGGCATAATTTTTCCAATCATAGACCATCCCGTCCAATCATTGTGTGTCATCCACTGTAGCTTCTCTTTGGAAGATGGTTGGGAGTGTCTTGGGCCGACACCTCTCTTTTGGAGGGTCCATAGCCAAAGCTCTGGGCTCCTGACAGCATCGTAAAGAAGAACCCAGAATGTAGGTGACCTTTTCAAGTCCACGAGAGATTAATGAGGATAAAATAGATTTTAAAAAATTTTAAATGCCGTCCTGGGGAATATTGATGATTGAGAGCTGCCAGGTGGATGTAGGGGCTGCTTCATGATCTCTCAGAAGTGTGCAGACTATGCTTATGTGAAATGACACCATGCTGGGACAGACGGCCTCTCTGTCCTTCTGTCTGTCTGCTCTGATTCTAACAAATGCAGAACCTTGTGTTGGTGAAGCAGATACTTGCCTTGATCTGGGGATAAGGTCTTAGGAGCTAGAAATTCTATTCTCTACCTTCTTTCTATGCTCTCTGTCCTCATCAAGTAGATTGTGATTCATAGACCAGGTGAAAAACAGGAAATATATATAGGCCAGTAGAGGTGGGAAAAAACGTGAATTGCTCTGACTTTTTATCAACATTTTGAGAGAAAGAGCTTGCACCAGAGATGAAGAGCATAAATCTCAGAGCTAGACTACACACACATTCATACACACAGACACTGCCATCAGATTGATTCTGAGTCATAGTGACCCCGTAGGAAGAACCACATTTGTTCTGTAGGACTCCAAAGCTGTAAATCTTTATAAAGGTAGACTTCTTCATCATTCTCCTGTTGAGCTGCTGGTGGAGTCAATCCACTGACTTTGGTTAGCAGTCAAGCACTTGATCCACTCTGTCACCAGGATGCTTTGGAGCTCGACCAGCTAGATTACAGTTTGTAGTGGATTACTTCTTACCTGTATGATCTTAGACGAGTTTGAGGACCTTAATCTCCTCGTCTGTTAAACTGGAATACTAATAACGGAGCGGTCTTATATGGTTGATGTGAAGATCAGCGCATTAACATAAGCTAGTGCTGAGAACCAGTGCCTGCCACACAGGGCTCCCGGCAACAACATTCCCACTTTCAGTGCTGTGGGATTTTGTCATGCTTGGAGATTGCCTTGCCTTTCAAGCATGAGATGCCCTGTAGTTCAACTCTGTCAGGCAGCATCACATGGAAGGCCAGCTAAAACACGGACCACTGAGCTCCAACCCCATAGTTTCAGAATAGAGAGTGTAAGGTGGCTTCAAGAATGTGCATTTCCCTCAAAATCCTGAGTTATGTGGATGTTGCTGGTCATAGGGCCATTACTTGAGACCCTCTTGGTGTGTCAAGTAACCAAAACTCCAAACAGAACTCAGTGTGTTGAACTGACTCTAGTTCGTGGAAGCACCCCATGCGGGACATAGACTTGCTCCACAGGGTTTTCTTGAGAGGGATCTCTGTGGAAGCTGATCTCCAGACGTTGGGGCACTGATGGGTCAGCTCGAACTGCTGGGCTTCAGATTGGTAGCTGAGCACTAATCATTCATGCCACCAGGGACCCTGAGAAGGACTGATTTGCTTCTGGTTTTGTGTTGTGACAGAGTCCCTGAAGCAGCAGCAGGCCTCAGCTGCAGTCCCGGATGAGAATACAGCGAGTGACCCAGCCAGCTCTCCAAACGGTACACTAACTACACAGATGTCCTTCCCCATATAGAGTGTTGGGGGGATTAAGTGTGATGGCGTGGGATACATGTACTGACATCCAAAATGCCTGGGATACATGTACGGACATCCCATCCCCACCCAGATTCCTTCCCTGGAGCTCCCACCAGTAAAACATGAGAGCAGGCTGTTCTCTCAAAGCCAATTGGTGTAATTGGTTTTCCAGGTTCTTTGCTTCTTCCCCCCCCCTTTTTTTTAAAGGAATAATGATTTAATAAAGTATTATAAACATAGGAGTACCTAGAGAGCATTGTTGAGTGAGCTGTTTTCCCTTTTATGTGCCCTTCCTTTCTTCTGCTTCCTTGTCTGTCTTAAGCCTTGGCACAGGCAAGGTTTCCTGAAGCTTTGCCTGGCACCAGAGAGTTCCCTAGACCCCAGAAGCGGATGCTGTGAACACAGGTGCTCTGCAGACTGCCAGCTGGCCCCTGCTCTCATGGGAGGAGAACCCATGCCTTGCATACTTCAGAGGGCCCTGGCCTTGATTTTCAGCACTCCATTTCAAGGCAGTCTTTCTAAAAAACATTTGTAGTTGTTGTTGTTCTAAGACAGTTCATTCTTTCAATGTTTTTAGATCAAAGACACTTAGAACAAGAAACTGACTGTAAAAGAGAAGATAGTATTCTTTGGACCAAAGAAATTGAGAATCTAGAAGATACAGAAAGGTAATAGAAAAAGCCAGACTTCTGGAAAGATTTTAAAATGGGATTATTTTTGTTGTTTTTATTATTGTGAACCATCGAATTGGATCAGACTGACACAGAAGGAGATTTCCCCTCCTTCTCCAGCGGAGCACCTGGTGGATTCAAATCACACCTTTGGGATTGCAGTGCAGCTTCTTGCCACTAGGCCATCAGAGCTCTGAAAAGATTTTTAAAATCTTAATAGTTTGTATTAGTGGCTTTCCCCTTCACCTCTAAGACTGATAAATAAGATGAGAATCCCCATGACTCTAACAGCATCTATTCCAAAAGGTTGTTTGGTTGGTATCAAACTATCTTGTGAGGTAAGTGCAAGTTTCAGCCTCTGTGAAAACATTTTTAGATTTAGATTAGACAGAAGACATGGAGTAGAATGTTTAGAGCTTGCTAGTCAAACAAGAGGAAATGGGAAACTTTAAAATAGTTTCTACTTTAATCATGAGGGGCCCTCAAAGCTCGATTCCACCCCTGATTTGGAGCTCCCCACTTACCAGTGTTGTCAGAAAACCCACTTCACCTTGCCTCTTCTGCCTTTTAACTTCAGCCTTGTAAAAAATATTCGGGGCCGAGACTTGGATGAAGTGAGGCAGGAGAGTCTCTTTGGGCACAGGATTTAAGGGACAGCTAAAAAGCCCACAATAAATATTTTTGTTGTTTTTAATTGTGATTTGGGAGGAAATTTACATAGCAAATCAGATTTTTGTTTCACAATTTCTATTTAGACAGTATTCCATTTTCATCGTTATACTTCAACACGGTATGTGGGCGTTTTCATTATTCCATTCTGATTGCTCTGTTTTCATTATTCTAGCATCCTTACCACACCCCCTACTTTTTCATCTTTGCTCTAGGGGAAATGTTGGCCATTAAGTTTCATGTAGATGGTTGTTTAAAGTACTCACAGGTGAAACGATTTTTTTATGAGTCATTTTGTCTTTCAGCTGTTAGGTAGCTAGTTTATGGATGTAGTTCAAGTCCATTAAAGGGTATTCCTGAGTGAGAGTGTTGGAAATGTCTACCAGTGAGTCTGACTTTCTTTAGGAATTAGAATTATATTATATATTCATCTCCACCTGATTCTATCTGGGGCCATGTGTTGAACTGTATAAACAAGAGATTTGAACCTTCCTCTATGCTGCACAATTTTTGCAATCTCTGATATACCTGTATACACATACATATGTGTGTATTTGGTTTTTTCTTTTTTAATTATTATTAAATTTTATTAGTTTCAATGAACATTCACAGGGATTCTGGGCTTTCACTCCTTCATTGCCGCACCATTCTCTCCACCCTCCTCCCCAGTTTGTTCTTCTTCCCCGCCATCCGAATGTCTGTTTTAATTGTCCAATTGCCACAGTGCTTGTCAAAGTCAGTTCTGATTAATCTCCTTTGTTGGTATGTCCTTTGCCATTCCCTATCACTCCTCCCTGAGAGAGACTTCACCCTGATTCATAAGGAAAAGTGGATGGCATATTCTCTTAGCTACTTCCTGCTGAAAAGGGACGCTGTGGGTTTCAGGGTGAAGATCTTCTCTCACTACTCTAAAGGGCCCCTTTGGCAGTAGGAAACACATAGACTATTATGGAGATTGATTTTGGAATTTAGATGCACTCTTATTGATTGTGCTTGGCCGTACATGTTCATATCCTTGAAGATGTATCATGGGGGTGTTGCAACCTAGAAGACACAAATTTGACTAACAAGTTACAAGTATTTGTGTGTATTTGTGTGTGTATATGTTGTGTTACTGTGTGCTGTCAAGTCAGAACTGATCCATAGCTGACCCTGCAGTGGGTCCCCAGAGGCAATCAATCACACAAGAGATTGCCCATCCTTCTCCCACAGAGCAGATGGTGGTTTTGAACCAAGTGCCTTTGAGATTATAGCACAGCTTCTTACCACTAGGACACCAGAGCATGCTTTCGCTCTCTCTGTGTATGTATGTGTGTGTATATATACACACCTCTCCAGAATACTGAAAAGCAACAATGTCCTTCTGAAGACTAAGGTGCATCTGACTCAGGCCATAGTCTTCACAGCTACTTGCTGTGCATCAGAGAGCTGGACAGTGACTAAAGATGACAGAAGAATTGATGCCTTTGAGTTGTGGTGCTCGAGAAGAGTCTCGAACATACCATGCACCACTAAGAAAACAAATAGGTCTGCTTTGGAGAGGGTAAAATCAAGTGACTGGGGTAATGGGGGTAGGTAAGTGTATTGGAATCAGTGAGACTAGCTCAGGATGGGTCAGGCTTCAGAGCACATAGGGTTGTTAGGAGTTGCAGGCAACTCGACAGTACATAACAACTACAAAAAATAATGTATAGTTTGACTGTGTGGATTACAAAAAATTGTGACTAACCTTGAGAAGAATGGGAATCCCAGAACACTTGATTGTGCTTATGTGAAACCTATACTTGGACCAGGAGGCAGTCATCAGAAAAGAACAAGGAAACACTGCAGTAAAGGTGCATGCTGGGGATGCATCCTATCTCCATACCTTTTCAGTCTATATGCAGAACAGATCATCTGGGAACTGGACTTTATAAGGAGAAATGTGACATCATTATTGCAGGAAGACTTATCAGCAATCTGCATTATGCAGATGACATAACCTTGCTTGCTGAAGCTGATGTGGACCTAAGGCATTTGCTCTGTAGCCTTCAAAATAGATTGAAGCTCAACATCAAGAAAGTAAAGATTCTCACCACTGGGCCATTTGGCAGCATCATGATAGAGAAGAGATTGAGATTGTTAATGGCTTCATTTTGCTTGGCTCCACAATCAACACTCTTGGTACCAGCAGCCAGAAAATCAAAAGACAAATTACATTGGGTAAATCTGCTTTCAGGGACCTCTCTAGAGTACTGAAGAGCAATGATGTCAGTATAGAGACTAAGGTGCACCTCATCCAGGCCATAGTCTTTGCAATTATTTGTCAGTGAGCTGGACAATGGCTAAGGATGGCAGAAGAAGAATTGATGCCTTTGAATTGTGGTCCTAGAGAAGAATATTGAACATATCATGGAGAGGGTGAAACGAGGCTGCTCCTTGGGGGCAAAGATTCTGAAGCTCTATCTGACATACTTATGGCATGTTGCCAGGAGGGATCAATCCTGAGAGAAGGACGTCATACTTGGAAGGGTGGAGGGACAGCGCAAGAGAGGAAGACCCTAGATGAGATGGATCGACTCAGTGACTGGAGTAAGGGGGTAGGTGTGTCAAGAGACAATGAAATTGGCTCAACATAGAACAGAGTCACCGTATATACATAGGGTTGTTATGAGTCACAAGCAACTTGATGGCACATAAAAACAACACACAGACATATACACACACAAACATACACTCTCGAATCCACAGAAAAATGGATTAACTTGCTGCTCTACAGGAGATTGGGGGACATTCTCGTCCTGTGAGATTTACTGCCTCTGAAAACCTACTGAATGGTCAGCAATGAGTCTGTTCTGACTCAATGCCACACCACAACCACAATCTGCCTATCTAACACTTATTTTTTATTGTTAATATTACAAAATTATAGATGTTGCTTCTGCCAAATTCATTGTTTATTCCTGTGTCATCTTTTACTTTAGTCATGTTGTGCTGACTTCACCATTATTTGATATTTATTGCCTTACCCATCACCTAAACTAGCAAGTGTCTACTTTTTAGAAGGTGGTTTCCCCACCCTCTCTCCCGACCTCTGATAACCACCAAGAGTATTGCTTTATATGTGTACTGACTGAGTCGTGTCCTCTAACGATAGTATTTGTCCTTTTGTGACAGCATAATTTTACTCAGTATAATGTCCTCAAAATTCAACCATGTAATTTTTCGAGAACTCATTATTATTTATGGGTGCATAGTATTCTGTTGTGTGTGAGAACCACCATTTGCTTTTCCATTCATCTGCTGATGGACAGGTTCGATTGTTTCCATAGTTTTGCTATTGTGGATGACGCTACAGTGAACATAAGTGTTCATGTCAGTAGTTAGCTTTGTAGGGTATATATTTAGGAGTAGGATTGCTGGATCAGAAGGAATTTTTCATCCTATGTTTCTGAATAAGTGCCACATCATTTTCTATAGTGGCCCAACCAGTTTACAATCCTACAGCTTGTAGAAGCAAGTTCTAGTTTTCTTGCAATCCCTCTAGCATTTCTTGTTTGGTTTTTTATTTTTTCCATAAGTGACTTTTTTTGCAGAGGGAGAAGACAAGTAGTATTTACATGCTATGTTTTAAGAGAAGAATAAATAAAGATGAATAAATAAAACTTTGATGAATAAAATACTTAAAAATTTAAAGCAAGACAGAATCAAACCCTGCTCTGAACACTAGTCAAGTCACCCTAATCCAGACCCTGTAGCTCCTAGGAGATCCGGGCACGGTGCTCTTGCAGCTGCAGATGACATAAGGCATGTCCATCATGCAGTGTCTCATGTAGCGAGGCTCAGGGTTGACAGGGCAGGGCTGAAGTGGCAGTTTGGTGATGCCACCAGGGACTTAGGCTCTTTGGATCTTTCCTATATGCCACCTGTAATGTGTTGGCTTTTATCCTTAAACTTGTCACTTCCTGGCTGCAAGAGGAATGCTATCCACACACCAGGCAGAGATCAGGGAGATGGGCAAAGGAATATGTCAGCTCACTGCCTCTTTTTATCTGGAGTAGCTTTTAAAAAAGCTTTCAACTGCTGTTAAAGTGGAAGGCAACACAAGAGTTTTGTGAGTAACTTTGTTGTTGTTATGTGCTGTCAAGTTAGAAGCTGACTTATAGCTCCAGCAGGTGTTCAGAGGCTTTAAATCACATGAGAAGAGATTGTCCGTTTTTTGCCATGGAGAAGCTGGTGGATTTGAACTATATGCCTTTGGGTTGGCAGTCAAGTACTTTAATTGCTGCACCACCAGAGTTCCTTCAGTCCCACATTAATATTGAATAAACAGAAATATATTGCCCAGATCAAGATAATCATATAATGGTTCAAGGGCTAGAAGACTTCTAAGCCAATTAGGGGTCTCCATTCCCTTTCTAAATAACTTTAGGCCATCAGAGCTCCCTTTAAATAGCTTTAGGGGGTTAGTCCAGTACCCATCATACTCTTCAAGGCTAAATTACTCTCTATAAGAAAGAAGAAGCAAGAAAAATAATACGGACAGGAAGTGTAGAAAGGAGAGGAGGAGACAAACCTGTGACCTGAGAGAAAACTGGGAAGAGAGTGTTTTGGGACAGCAGAGAAGGCAAAGAAGCAAAAGGAGGGAGATAATATTTTTAAGGGGTAGTTTTAGGAACCTTGGTCAACAAGTTATACTTCTTTGTTGAGGGAAAGTAGACATGTTTGTCTCACTTCTCTTCACTTGCCCCGGGACAGAGCTCACTCTACTCTCGATGAGGACCTGGAAAGATGGCTGCAGCCACCTGAGGAGAACAGGAGACCCCAGAACCTCCCACAGGACGCGGCAAGGTTATTGTTCCCCGACAGGGGATCCTTATCTTCTTTCCCAGGAAGCAGGGCTGGGTTGTTTTCATTATGGTTTGGTTTGTTGTTAATATCTGGACTCCTTAGAGAATGCTTTTCTGGTGATGGCCTCACTGTGGACACTCTCATGCTTGCACGTCTTCCTCCAGCCCCACCCAGGGCACCAGGTGGTGATGAGCAGATTGCTATTAGTAAAGACAGAGACCTCTAAGACTGCTGTCCGTTGGCCCCGCCACTTTCAGCCTTTTCATCAGTCATTTGAATTAAATCAGAATAGGCAAGCTCTTCCACTTTTTTAGATAACATAAACTAGGAATGAACACTAGTAAGAAGAGTGATAGACTCAAGATTCAGAATGATTTTCATGATACGTGGATGTTTGATTTCTAAAAAAAGAGGTTGTGAGCGTTTAGATCCAAGAGCAGAGAATGTGGAAGATGTGACCTTATAAGGGTATTTCCAGTCCTGTTCACTGGAGCTTTGTTTGGAGCAGGAAGTTATGTCTTCTTTTGATATATCCAGCACTTAGCCTGTGTCTTGTGACATGGTAAGACTTGAAGAAATGCTTCTTGGAGGGTGTTTGGACAGCGATCCTGTGAGCCATCAGTTTGATACAGTGACCAAGGATTGTTAACCAAACTCACTGCCAGCAATTCAATTCCAATGCATAGTGACCATAAAGGAGAGAACAGCCCATCACACGTCACAGACTGAATCGTTTTGGAAGGAGACTCCACATCGTCTCCAAAGGAGGAGCTGCTGAGTTCAAACCACCAACTCTTTGGTTAACAGTCAACTACTTCAATCACTGTGCCACTAGAGTTCCTTCAGTGCCACATTAATGCTGACTTAACAGAAATATCATGTCTGGATCAAGATAATCATGCCATGCTAATGACTAGAAGACTTCTGTAGGGCCCCATTGTGGGAGGAGAATGTGGCTGGAGTCAGAAGTCTGAGAAGCCGGTCCTGTGAGAACAGCTGAAAGAGCCAGAAAGACTGAGTCTGAGGAAGAGAGGGAGTGGAGACACTGATAGCTGTCTTTTAATACCTAAAATACTACGGTGTTTTAAAGGGAAATGAGTCCGTTCACTCTCTTTTCCCAAGCTCAGAGCTAGTGATAAGAAACTGTAGAGTAACAGATTCATATGCAGTCGATACATGTTCTAATAGCCACTGCTGTCTGACAGTGGGACCTTTATACTTTAACAACACAGCTGCCCAGGCAGAGGCCAGAGGACCCTCCAGTCTTGGGACATTGTGTTTTGGAGGAGATGGTAACCGGAACATCTTTTCAAATCAATAGGATTTCCATTGATGATGGAGGCCTCCTGCTGGACTCACTTGCCTCATTTTAATAATCTGTTTGTACTGTCTATCAGAAAAATAGACTCTCCACCAAAACTAGAAGAGAGAGATCCCTGAGCAGAATTGGTTTGCTTTGGCCGCCAGCAGCTATTGATGTCCACAATGAGCCAGCACTGAGCCAGGGGCCTGAGGGGCAGAGAGAGGAATAAGACATCTCTGCCCGTCAGAAGCTTGGAGTTAGTCACATGAGGGACACAGTTCTTGCTCAGTAATTGGATTCATGTGATGATCTTCAGTTGTGGCTGTTGTTGTTAATGCCACCAGTGAACTGAGTACAGCGTTATGAACAACCAGTCTGAACCCTGTCCTGTGCCATCCCCATCATCTCTGACACACCTGAGCCTACTGCTGCAGTCGCCATGGCAGTCCATCTCGTGGAGGGTCTTCCTTTATTTTGCTGACCCTCTTCCTTTCCAGGTGTGATGTGCCTCTCCAAGGAAAATCCTCTCCTAACAACATGCCCGGAGTGTGTGAGAGGAAGCTTCACTATCCTTGCCTCCAAGGAGCACTCTGGTTTCATTTACTTTCTCCAAGACATACCTGTTTGGTTTCTTGGCAGTCCATTGGATAATCAGCACTCTTTGCCAACACCACAGCTCAAAGGCAGTCCTTTTCCTGTCATCCTTACTCATTGTCTAGCTCTAAGATGAAAAGCAGGTAGTTGGAAAGACCATGGTTTGAATCAGGTTCACATTAGTCTTCAGACTGACACCATTGCTCTTCAAGACTTTGAAGAGGTCCCTGACAGCAGGACCCAGTCTCCAGATCTCCTGACTGGTGATACCGCAAGTGTTGGTTGTGGATCCAAGCAAGATGAAATAGCTTGCAATTTCAGTCTTCTCTCCATCTGTCATCTTGTTGCCCATTGGCCTAGTGGTGAGGATTTTTGTTACCTCATGTTGAGATGCAGTCCATATTGAAGGCTGCAGTCCTGGGTCATTGCAGCAAGCATCTCAAACCCTTGCTTTCAGCAGCCTAGGTTGTGTGTTATCTGCACAATGCGAGTTGTTGATGAGTCTTCCTGCAATACTGGTGCCACATTCCCCTTCTTAAATTCAGCTTCTCTAATGATCTTCTCAGCATACATATTGATGCGCAGCTTTCTGGATTCCAAACCATTCAGTGTTCCCTTGTTCTGTTTGGACAACAACTTCTTGGTCTAAGTATAGCTTTCTTTTTTTTTTTTTAAACTTTGGAGAAGTCCCTAGGTATTGGTTTCATATAATTAACTGTCCTGAAATTACCATTTCCCCCAATGCTAGCCATAGTCAACATTATTCAGACACTTCACTGAGTGAGAGTTTCAGGAAATAAAGATAAGGTCATAAAATAAGTGGTGATTGTTAAAAAATGGATGCCAAATACAGCCAAACTAAAATGCTTTTTCCTTTGCCTGAGAGCTGACTTCCTGTGCTCAGATCACAGCCTTGACTTACTTGGCATGTAATTTAGCTTCTCTGTGACAAGATTTCTTCACCATTTAAATGATAGTGGTGACAGCCTCCTGTGGTGGTCCTGAGGATTGTGCTCATGCATGTAGAAGTCCTTGAACCAGTGCCTGGCTCTCAGAGAGCACTCGATTGCTGCTAACACTACTCGGTGACGCAGCACTGTATTAGTTTTTGGAGGCACTCCTCTTCCCCTACTCATTATGCACATAGTTTGATGGCCAAAATTATTGTTATTGAAGGGACCTGGATGCCAAGGATCAAGAGGTTGGTGAGACGAAGAGAAAAGAGGAAGAAAGTGTCAAGCCAGAGAGAAGCAAATCAGACAGCTTTTTAGGTGCTTCTGAAGAAGGTACAAATGAATAATTGTTTGTAATGTTAAGTATATTACTTGGGCTCTGGTGAGCATCAGTGTTAATTTAGAAGTTTCCCAGCTACCTTTGATCATTTTTTTCACTTTCTTTTTTTAAAAAAGTTTTCATTTTGTGATTTTAACAAAAGTTTACAGAAAAGTTAGATTTTCATTCATTCATTGTGTTCATTTCTTTTTTCCTTGTAGTTCATATTTTCTCTTAATTGCCAATTGTATCATCTTCACAAAATTGTAATAATGTGCAATTCTATTATCGGAAATCTTTTAAAAAGCTCTAAATTCACAGAGCTTGCAAAACCTAATAAGAGATTATATAGAATTTCAATGAAATCTTCATGCAATTAAAAAGTTTTAGGTTTTAAAAAAAGTTCTAGATTAACCTTCCATTTCAATGGTTAGAAAACACTTTAAGTCATTCACAAATGATTCCCTTCTGTTTTAAGAGCCTCCACAGTAAGTTAGAGATGCCAACTCTTTCAGGTCACTTGTTATCGCTCTTTATCCGCTCCCTAGAGCATTCTCATTCTGTCCCTTTCCTGCCCTGCTTTGAGTCCCAGGATGGCGACCTTCATGGACTGCATCTCCGGGGCTTGTTAGCCAGTGGAGTTCCGAGGACAGGAGAAAGATTGAGATATTCCTCCCCCTTCCTGCTAGCTTCGGGACCTTGTCTCTCATGGAAGTAGTATTCCTCCAAAGCACAGTTTCTTCTCTAAGGCAGTCCAGTTTCAGGTCTCACTGGTCCCAATAACTAACTATTCACCTTTTCCCCTCAGATGTAGAAGTGATAGGGCTTCTGCTGGTTCCTTTCTAACCCTGTTTGCTCCATTAACGGTAACTACACTTCTGAAAGGGGTTACTTTATTAAGGGTCACTTAATTTGAACTGTCTAGAGACACCTTCCCTTTTTCCCCAGACCCTGACTGGCACAGAACCTAGAGTACATGAAGATTTCAGCTAGTCTGAGAGGATAATGCAGGGACTTAATGAATTTACATCATTAGTGCACATTGCTGTGTATATGGAACAAAATGTATAATGTTAGGAGAAACCCATCAATTCTATTTTTATTTATTTACTGCAAAGGGAAATAGTATTTTATAAATTTTTATTATTACATAAATTTTACAGAGTGCCATCACCTGATTATGGACCATTTTATACTTAAAATTCACAACTGTAATCACAAATAAGTTTTCATGATTTATGTGAATACAACTATCAGTGAGATTTAACAATGAGAAACAGCCATAGTATCTGATGTTTCAGACAGCAATGAAGATGTTTTTAATCATCTTTCTTAAGCAACCTTATGAAAGTCATTTAAAAGTTCCAAGCCTCCAAAGGCTTTTTAAAATACACATATACAAATGTTTACAGACAGTGAAATTTTTTTCTTGTTTTTAGACAGTGGAATTTTTAAGATGCATCTTTCATATCCATATGCTCTTGCAATTTCGATATCATATTTTTCTTCCAGTTACTTTGCTTTGACTGCAAGAGGTGCCAGGATAAGATGGATATTTTGCTTGACTTCTTTGATACCCTGACCTTTCTGTAATTCTTTTATTTTTCCTTTAACCTGTTCATTATAAATGTAGCTTGGCATTTCTGTTTGGTATTTTCCACTCTCTTCAGTAGTTTTATTCCATGGCTCCTGCTGGTATTTGACAGGTTCATTTGTACACTTTTCCAATTTAAATGAATTCTGCACTGTAAGTTGTTTACCCTCTGGTTTCTGAAATGCATTAGTCCACCTGACCTTGGGAGGATTGCACTTCTTTGTAAAATTTTTGCGACATTTGGATTTACAAAATCTGAACACCTGGCAGTTGTTACAGATGAAAATCATGCCGCAGTGAGGGTAGACCAGCCCCCAAAAAAGTAACACTTCTCTGTACATATGTTGACCCCGTGTGGGTACCCACCAGCTGTCAACTCTATTTTCAGATGCATTCTGGCTCTGGAGAATAAAATAGCAGCAGTTGATTTAGGGTGAAGAGTCTACTCTCAACTGATGTGATTTTTAAATAGTGGCATTTTTACTACCTTGAAAGTAATACGATTTTCCCCCCCCCTTCCTCTTATATTTCATCAAGATGAACTAAAACCCTGTTTTTGGAAGCGGCTAGGTTGGTCTGAACCATCCAGGTAATATAATTTGGTTTTCAGTCAAAACTCACTGTTTATAGGCAACATGATCAATACTTACATAATTTTTTTATGATACTAGTTTATTTACAAAAGTTGAGTACATTGTTTTTCAGATGAGATTCTTCAACTTTCCCTCACCCTTCCACCCATCAAATTGTACAATTCCATGATCATTTCCTCCCCACCCCCGCATATCCTCATCCTCCTGCTTCTACCCTCCCCCCATCCTCATACTTATTCTACAGTAATAGTTTTATACAATATTTGTCCTTGTGGGACTGAGTTAGTTCACTCAGCATAATGCTCTCCAGTCTCTCCCAAGTTAGGTAGTAATTTACAAAATCATTGCCACTGCATTCTGTGTAGTATTACATTGTGTGAATGTACCTTAATTCCTCAATCCATTTGATTGTGGTTGGATATCTGGGCTGTTTCCATATTCTTGTGATAGTGAACATTGGTATACCAGTCTCCGTTTGTGCCTCAGTTCTCATTTTCTCAGAGTATATTTCAAGCAGTGGAATAACTGGGTCATATGGAATTTGTGTTCAGCTTTTTTTTCCTCACGTCAGATGGGTAGTGTGCTGAGATTGTAACAAGGTTTAAAGGGTGGCACATGTTACACAGAAATATGAATGCCCAGTCATCATGCTTATGAACTGGAAAAGAATCTATGTTCAACTTTTTGAGGTAGCACCAAACTACCTCCCAGGATGGTTGTATTAAGTAAATCTTAATAACAGAAATTTCATTTTGACAAGATTGCTAGTTTTAAAATATTTAGTGTTTGATGTTAATAGACTATAAGGTGAAATTAATGCCACCTTATATAATTAAGAGTTCAGTGATTCAAATTCACCAGCAACTTTCTCTTCTTCCATTTAAGATTTACAACCTCATTTCAAAATTCAAAGAATGTAATTGCTGTCACTGAACTTGATATGTAGAAACTGATGGATTGGTTGATGTTTTCCTGTGTCTCAATAACAGCAAAATTAAAAAAAGTTATTTACAACCTCAGAAACTGGGTGGAGGGTCACTGTGAGTCAGAACTGACTTGACAGCATTGGGATTTTTAAAATCTGATTAAATAAGTGTTAAAATCAAACTAAGAACCATTTTAGTCGAGAGAGAGACAAGATTGTATTAAATCAATTGCTTTGCAATTGTACTATCAGTTGCATTTTGAATTTCCATGTTAATACTAGTTCATCATAATTTCCCCAGATTATGAAAACCAAAATCCCTTTCCTTTTATTTCTGTTGAATAGAAAGTGTTGTGTCATGAAAAAACATACATACATCCCTATTTAAAAGCTCCCTTTTTTGTCCTTTAAAAATCATTCACACAGGATAATTGTGCTGGATCAGAGCGACTTGTCAGACTGACCAGAACTGGATCCACGAGTGGACGCCTGGCCCAGGATTGTCCGAGTTGTGAGCCTCCTTCCTTGTTCCCACCTCTGCTACAAGCCCCGTCTTGACAGGGCAACAGTTCAGTGATTCACACGTTGTGGAGCTTCCACAGTTGACTAAAAGCTTTTGACCCTGCCTGTTTTGTCTTGTCATGTTTCTAAAAACTGAAAGGTAGTTTTGATTGTAAAAATTTCTCATTTGTCCGTTTCTCATTTTGGATTTGTTTAGAAAGCTTTAGGACCAGTAGAATAATAAGTTATATAATAAAATATTTACTTTTAATACCAGTTAGCTCTTGGCTGTGTAACATACTCATTCTGTGTTTGAGTTATTATGAGTTACTGGGCCGGTGGGAGGGGAAGGAGAACCATCACCCAAAAACGCTTCAATTTCTGTTATCAAATTTAACAAACAGGCTGTACAGACTGGCACCAATAGTCTATGTTTTGTAACCCAAATGTGCCTCACTTACTGGCTGAGGTTGCCGGTGCCCATTCTAGCTATAATTGATTGGCATGATAAAAGCACAAAGAGTAAAATTCTAAAATATTTGTAACTCTTTAAGGTGAACAAGCATCATTTCTGTATATGCTTTAACATCATTGGTGTCTTCTTGTTGTGGCCAACCATCTAGTGGGTTTTCAGAGGCTGTAAATCACAGGGGAGTAGATTACTCATCTATCTGATACTATGGAGCAGCTGGTGGATTCGAATCACCTGCCTTTGTACAACCTGTTACTCAGTAGACCACAAGAGCTCCCACATTAGTGTCTTAGAAGAAGAAGATTGTGATAAGACAAGGATGGTAACTTTTTCTCAAATTTAGCCCCTTTGGATCACTGGCCAAATAGATAACATGTATCAAGCCTGGTTTTTAGAGGATTAATAGCAGACACAAAATGATAATTCTGAGTTAGGATAGCATTACCTTTTAGTATTTGTAAAGGCTGCAGGTATTACACAAACTCCCACACAACAAAGGCTGGCAGAGTAGTCTCCTCTCTCTGGCCATTTTTACTATTTGTTTGTTACATAATACAGAGCCAGTATTGTCAGTAATAGCGATTGTGGTAGATACTGTGTAGATACTGTGTCCAGAGCACCTGCTATTTGTTGAGTACTTAACAAGGTCCCAGGTGAACCTCATCTTTAAGCCTGTCCTGCCACTGTTGGTCAATGAACCACAGTTTCTGAGTCAAGGCTTTATTACCTAAGACAGTGAATTCTCAGTTATGACTGCACGTGAGAACCTCTGAGGAATTAAAAAACCAAACAAGAAAAAAAACCCAGAAGAACACTTTCATGCACCACTCCCACATTATCTGATTTATTTGATCTCAGGTGGAACATGCTTATCAGTGTTAATAAAACCTGTATGGGTGATTCTAATATACAGCCAGGCTTGAGAAGTACTGTCCAAAGCAGAAAATTAGACTTTGCATAAAGATGTGATTACATAAAAGGATGCTTATTGAAACATTGTGTGTAATATGTTGTTGTGAGGTGCCAGTTGAATAAGACTTATTGTGACCTTATGAACAAACACTCTGAATCCTGTGCCATCCTCACTCTTTTTTTTTTTTAATTTTATTTTTTTATTTTTTGTGTGTACCATCAAATCGGATCTGACTGGTACAGGAGAGATTGCCCCTCCTTCTCCAGCAGAGCATCTGGTGGATTCGAACTGCGTACTTCTGGGCTACCAGAGCCTCTGCCATCCTCACTTTTTCTGACACACCAGAGCCCATTGCAGTCACAATGTCAGTCCATCTGGTCAAGGGTCTTCCTCTACTTCACCAACCCTCTGCCCTCCCTAGCATCATATCCCTCTCCAAGGAATAACCCCTTCTAGCAACATGCCCAAATATAATGCTCCTAATACTGGAAATAATATAAATGTCCAACAGTAAAGGACCAATTAAAAATTATAAAACAAGGGAGCTCTGGTGGCCTAGTGGCAAGAAGCTGCATTGCAATCGCAGAGGTGCACGGTTCAAATCCACCAGATGCTCTGCTGAAGAAGGTGGGGCAGTCTCCTCCTGTACCAGTCAGATCTGATTTGATGGTACACACACACAAATAATAAAATAAAAAAATTTAAAAATTATAAACCAGCCTTAAGTAATCAGAAATTATGCCAAACAGATTTATGAACACATAAAGTTGTTCATGAACAGATCCTGGAAGAAGAAATGCCAGTAGGGATAGTAGTGGTGGTGTTTTAGCTGTTGACAGGGTCAGCCCACAACTCTCAGAGGCCCCATGCAAAATGGAGCAAACTGTTTCCTAACCCTGCATCATCCTTGTCATCAGTTGCGGATTAGGCCATTGTGAGCCATAGAATTTCACTGGTTGGTTTCTGGAAGTAGATCATCAGCTCTTTCTTCCTAATTCATGTTAGTCTGGAAACTCCACTGAAAGTTGTGCAGCACCAGAGAGAGAGACACATGAACTTCCACTGACAGATGTGTGATAAATGCGCATGAGGTCCATTAGCTGGGAATAAAATTTTCCTCTCCCTTGTGGAAGATAAGAATTCTGTGAATGAATCACAGTGGCTCTTTGTAGGTATAGTAGGAACCCAACCATGTAAACTTATAAATAAATAAATATCAACATACAGTAAATGCATACATGAAGATATCTGGAAAAATGTATATGAAATAGTGGTCCTTTCAAGATAATAGAATTTTAGGTGATTTCAGCTTTTTATGACTCCTGGTAAAGTTGGGGTTTTTTTTTGTTTGTGGGGTTGTTGTTTTTTTTTTGTTTGTGTTTTTTTTTTGTAAAGCTGTTTTCATTTAAAGTAATAGAAAGTGTTTACTATTATTCTTTGCTGTGAAGACAGTTCTAACTTGTTTATAGAGATGACCTCAAGTGTGAAGAGTAGGACTGCTCCGTAGATTTTTTTGAGTAGGACTGCTCCGTAGATTTTTTTCAATGCTGTGATACTTGGGGAGCAGAGGAGCAGATGAAAAGGACTAAATTCTCACATGTCTTTGGGTGAGTTTGAACTACCAGCCTTTCAGCTTGAAGTTGAGTGCGTTAACCATTTGCACCATCTAGGTACTCCAGAAAGAGTAGATGTTAGGTGCCATTGAGTCAGCTCACACTCCTAGCAACCCCTGCGCAGTCCTGGACCATCACTGCTGTACCTGGGCCCATCGTTGCAGCCACTGTGTCCATGAAGCTCTTTGAAGATCTTCATTTTCACTCACTCTCTACCAAGCATGACGTCTTTCTCCAGGGAGTTTCACCAATCTCTCTTCTAAGGAACCTTAAATCTTCTAGAACAAATTTATTTCTTCTTTTGGCAGTTCATGGTATATTCAGTGTTCCTTCTCAACACAATTTAAAGGCATCAGTTCTTTCAAAGATCAGAAGTCAAAGTCATTAACTGACCCTCCAGCCAGTTTTCAGGGACTGTACATTGCAAGGGAAAGGATTACCCATATTTCTCCTAGAGAGCACCTGGTGGACTTGGACTGCTTTTGGTTGGCAGCACAACTTCTTATTAGGGCACCAGGGCGCCTAATTCCTTAGTCATTGTTCAACTTGTGGTTCGAAATACCACTGTTTGTGTCAGGCACACCTTAATCCTCAAGGTGATGTCTTTGCTCTTCAGTAATTTAAAGAGTTTTGTTGTTATGTGCCATCGAGTCGCTTGCGACTCATAGACACCCTATGTACAACAGCCCTAAACTCTGTCCTGTGCCAATTGCACTGTCTCTGATACACCCCTCCCAATTATCCCAGTCACTGAATCAATCCACCTCATAGAGGGTCTTCCCCTCCTGCGCTGTCCCTCCACCCTCCCAAGCATGATGTCCCTCTTCAAGGATGGGTCCCTCCTTACAGCATGTCTAAAGTATGTTAGACAGAGCCTCAGAATCCTTCCCTCCAAGGAGCCACCCGGTTTAACCCTTTCCAGGACAAATCTGTTTGTTTTCCTAGCAGTCCATGGTTCCCTCAACACTCTTCTCCAGCAACACAGCTCAAAGGCATCAATTCTCCTATCCTCCTTGGTCATTTTTCAACTCTCTGATGCGTTACAAGTGATAGCAAAGACCATGGCCTGTATCAGACGCACCTTAGTCTCCAGAGAGACACCGTTGCTCTTCAGTACTTTGGAGAGGTCCCTAACAGCAGACTTTCCCATGGTAATACGTCTTTTCATTTCCTGGCTTCTGGTGCCAAGAGTGTTGACTGTGGAGCCAAGCAAACTAAAGCTGTGAACAATCTCAGTCTCTTCACCATCCATCCTGATGCTGCCAATTGGTCCAGTGGTGAGAATCTTTGTTTTCTTGACATTGAGCCTTAATCCATATTGGAGGCTGCAGTCCTTGACCTACTGCAGCAGGCGCTTCAGGTTATCCTCAGTTTCAGCAAGCAAGGTTGTGTCATCTGCATACGCAGATTGTTGATAGATCTTCTACCAATATTTACCCCACATTTCTCCTCATAGAGCCCAGCCTCCTGGATAATCTATTCTGCATACAGGTTGAAAATGTATGGAAACAGGACACATCCCTGGTGTATGCCCTTCCTAATTTTCAACCATGCAGTGTTTCCTTGCTCTGTTCTGATGACTTTCTCTTGGTACAAGCATAGGTTTCTCATTAGCACGATCAAGTGTTCTGGGATTCCCATTCTTCTTAGAGTCAGCCACAGTTTGTTATGATCCACACAGTCAAACGCCTTTGCATAGTCAATGAAACACATATACATTCCTTTGGTATTCCCTGCTTTCAGGTAAGATCCATCTAACATTAGCTACTATATCTCCAGTACCATGACCCCTTCTAAACCCAGCCTGGACTTTTGGCAGTTCTCTGCTGATGCGCTGTTCCAGTTGTTTTTATATAATCTTCAGTAGAATATTGCTTGCATGTGAAATAAATGATTTGTTCTATAGTTTCCACACTCTGTTGGGTCACCTTTCTTTGGGATGGGAACAAATATAGATCTCTTCC